TTTTCGGTTTCTACATATGAATTTTGTTGTTTTATATCTATCATTGTACCAATTTTTCGGTTCCCTTAACGCAACCGTGATCAAGGCCAGATGAGTATTCTATTCTTAATGTTAAACCTAACTCGTCTCTTATAACTCAATTTACTCAGAATATATTTCCCAATTTCCAATTATGAAGTGAATCTTCTAAAGCGACTTCAGTCGAGTCAGTTACACTTTCAATTCATCTGGACTTCGAGCTCTTTTTTTCTGGAAACAACAGTTACTAGTAGTTCTAACTACTAAGGATTTATTTAAGATTATCTTTTTATTCATTTATTTATTTTTTCAGTATTGTCTTGTATCACAAATTTAATTCGTTATAATATTTCTGAATCTTAATATTTATATTCTAACATTAATAACAATGTAACACATAAAAAACTGGATCAAACAAATAAATATAATCACAGCCGGACACATTACACTTTTATTTTTGTACAAAAGGTCACTAAGTCTTATTTACGAAAGCTTTCATAATAAATTTTCAGAACATTTTCCCCATGTACGGGTCAGCAGGCTGAGAGGGAATGATTGCTGTAGAGACATAGTTACTCTCAGATAAAAACACACTACATGTAGGGAAGCTAACCAATCATCATTATATGAATTTGATCAAGTATCTTCTACCTGACAATTTCTCAGCTTTAGACAGGGTCTGCCTTACATATTGTGAATAGTTTTGGCAATTTTTTTTTACGACCGGCCGCCTGCCTGACATCAACCCTCTTTGGGAATACATTAATCAGTGATGTTAAAATACTCTTAGAAAGTACATAGGACTCGGAAAAATCACATTGGTACTTGCCCGGGCCAGGATCGAACCCGCGCCCTCGTGCATGAGTGGCGGGCCTTTTAACCACTAGGTCACCACTAATTAATTATGACTAATACATACACAAGTATATTATTACTAAATTATTATTATATAAGAACACAGCCACAACACACCATGCTGCATTAAAGTACTGATATACTAGTCTCAGTCAGTAAAGTATATGGATGAAAAACTAAACTTAAAACTAAATAATAATTTATTGAAAATTCATACATCAATTATTATAAATGGCTTAAAAATATTGTAAGTAACTTGATAGACTAAAAATAGGCTACTTGATTCTATAAAATGTGAAAACTTTATTAACGATGGATGGTCATTTAAAAATTATTAAATTTAATAAAGACAAATTTCCAAAACTATAATACCAAGGAAGATGACGATCATAAAAGAGATAATTTTATCCAAGCATTTATGGGTTATTTCTTATAGACATAAAATACTAACTAGCCAAAGCACAGTCAGTGTCGAAAGGAACAATTCATGAACTCAAATAACTGAAAGAAAACTACGAAGATACGAGTAACGTACATCTTTAGACGCCATTACAAAGTGCCTGCTTCTGTTCCACATTCTTAGTTAATTCAGAGTCTTCGATCACATTAAATACATTAAAAATATTTTCATAAAAATGAAACTAATATTTTGCGGATATACTACGCTACTTTATTTTACTTTACAGCAACCGTGATCTCAGGCAGACGAGATGTTAGTGTTAAGTAACCGAATCGTCGGGAGTATGTAGTTTTTATCAAAAACAAAGTAGCGTAGTACATCCGCAAAATATTAGTTTCATTTAAACGACTCGCGAAAATCTCAGATCTCATTACATTTTCAAATATCCTACCTACTATTAAGTTCTATTAAAAACCGTTAGTGTACGTTATTCTCGATAATCAATAAAGCTTTACTAGATGTATGTAAGTCGTATCAAACGCTTGTTCTGATTGTACTATACTATCTATCTTCTTCTTCTACCTGGCAATTTCCCAGCTATAGCCAGGGTCTGCCTTACATGTTATGAATAGTTTTTGGCTATTTGTTTTTTTTTACGACCGGCCGCCTGCCTGACATCAACCCTCTTTTGGGAATCAACATTAATCAGTGATGTCTAAATACTCTTAGAAAGTACATATGATTCGGAAAAATCACATTGGTACTTGCCCGGGCCAGGATCGAACCCGCGCCCTCGGCGACGAGAGGCCGAGAGGCGGGCCCTTTAACCACTGAGCCACCACTGACTTACTATACTATCACACTGACACACTGTACTATACTATCTATATGTACAGAAATACAATGATTTATAAGTACAACTAAACATAAGTATATAAAACATTGTTTTACATACATTTAATTTATTATTAATATTAAATTAATAAATGAATTTGAATTTTCTTGTGATATGAATGTGAAATTTTCAAAATAGGATTATTTACCAAAGCAAGATAAATATTTTTTTTATTTAAATTTTATTCATTGAGAATACTAATGTTTATTAATAACAAACTATTCTAGAAGCTTCCACACACTCCTTATTTTCTGTTTCATTTGTATTATAATTTAAACACATACTCGTACGTATATTTAAATCTGTCATATATATGTATATGTTTTATATATGTATATGTCTATGTTATCTACACAAAGTTTTGAAGTTCTATATATTTATTATTTTTAATATTCTACAGTTTCTGTGCATTGAATTGTTTTTATACAAGTTGAAATAATGTATCATCTTGATACGAAAATCTGCAACTATTGTGTAGTCATAATAAAAAATATACAAGAAGAATCTTATAATATATCAATGTTCTCAAAAAAATAATAATATTCTAATTCGTCAAATGCTTAACCAAAACTAACTAACGGTAAAATCTTTAGTTAAATGTCGAGATTATTCTGTGTTTTTAATATAATATTTGACGTGATGTGTTTCCTACAATATCATATATAGAGAAGTTTCAAACCAGCCAGCAGTTGGCGGCCACAATCAGCTTTGTAGTTTAAGCAAGCATTGAAAATAAACATTTATAGTATTTATGTTTAGAAATTATATCAAATGTATACATATTTATTAAAGGAATTTCAGTTAATTGTATGTACAACTTATTAATGTGATTTAAACACAAATACGTATCAAAAAACAGACATTATTTTGTATAATAAATAAAATTTTTAGCATTAAATAATAAATTCTCTCTTAAACATATGTACATATTTATATATATATATATATATATATATATATATTGAGAGATATATTGAGAGAGAGAGAGAGAAACACTTATCCAAATATCTTGAAGTCAAACAAGAAGTTAGTTAGTATACTCCTACAATTATTGTAGATAAAACCACTTAAAGATTGATAACATTTGGAAAATAGATAACATGGTTACCAAATGCCCGCGACACACAAACTGAAAAACATTATACATATTTTAATATATACTTTTATCATATATCGAATGTAACATTTATACTAATTCATTTGAAAAAATTGTTGCACTTTTAAATCCTACCAACACAGTCAAATTGTCCAGTCAGAGAGAAAATCTGTTTTCACAATCAGAGTTTTAGTATTCTAATAACTTTATAAAAAAAAAACATTAAATTTGGAATACAAACGGGATAGTGTTTCATAAATCCCTCTCACTATTGAACATCAGATGAGTACCCAAAAAAAGGTGGTACAATTAGGTGTTCATAAAAATCTTTAATATGTTTTCGACGAACGTATTTTAAAATGAAATTGTTTTAAACCGATACTAGCCGACGCGAGGGAAAATTCAATTAGTCGAGCAAAAATTAAAAGCCACTCTGCGTGTCTCTTATGTAGTTTGAATGTTTTGTTTTGGACGTCCAAGTGGTTTTTTAATTTGACAGGTGATCGCACACGACTTGCTCTCCTCTATTGTGTCGTTGAAGTATCGAAATTGAACGAACTCTGTCCATTTGAAGCCCCGGCCGCCATCGGCCGGTCACAATAGAAGGCACTCTATGCGTTTCTCGCTCCATGAATATGAAAATCATTTTCCTTAAATGCATTTCAACTTGTGGCGTTCTGTTGCATTGATTTTTTGGACGATTCGTTTTTAAACTGTTTAAATGTGCGTAAAGAGATATTATTTAAACAAACAGATATTTTATGTACGTAAAGTTTGTTGAGTAATTTTTTTTTTAAATATTGTAGTCCAGACATATATAAAACATGAATCATTATTAAAAATTATATTATTGCATGATGTTCAGTCTCTCAATGAGTGATGTGTTGCAGTAGAAGCCTTCACCTGTAATGGATCCGGGTGGTGGTGATGACGATCAATGACGTCATTAGAGGAACGATGACGTCACTAGTACGAGTAATTGCAACACTATCATCACAGCCGTCTTCATATTCAAAGTGACTCCATTACGATATTGATCTGATGCTGTCTTTATATCATACTGCATGTCCATTACTACAGTAATCATGACTCGAATTATATGATCCCATAGAATAGATTCGACTTTAAAAGTTTCCACAGGATTTTTTTGATCTTTGAATTAGACATGAAATATCTGCATACATTTTAAACTCATTTTTCATTAATACGAATATTTTTTTGTCTCAAATTCCATTCTTGAAGACTTAAACGAATCACTTAATATACTACTATACAGCTTTGCACGTGATTATAAAATATTTTGTTCATACTTTTTCAGTGACATGACTTAAAAAGTAACTTTCGTAAACGTTCTTCATATGAAAAATAAATGTATAACATATTATACTGTTCATATATTTAATATTTAAACTTATTATATTGTTAACAAAGCTACAGCCACGAAACAGTTTGTCTTTTATAAATTCTAATCACACTATGTAAGAACACCATACTCGTACATTAAAGAGCTCATTACACTCAGAGGCTAATGCGACGCTTTGGTTCCAACGAGAGCTTAAAACCAGTTCTTTAATTTCATTGAAAGAGTCCATTTGCATGACACATAATAACTACGGTTCGCTCGTCTCTTTTAAAATTCAGTAAAAATGAATACAATTTCCCAGACATCGCCTCTGTAAGGCATCACGCGTGCTGTATTCAGAGAGAGGAGCAGATACATTTACCGTGGACGGTGAATGGTGGGTGGTGGATGGTGTATGGTGGGGAGTAATAGTCACGTGTGCGTCGCGTCACCTGAATCAGGTGAATGCAGAGCCGACGTTCAATTTCGCGAGCTAATTGTTCATAACGGAAGGTCATATCCGGAGGACGCGCCGCCTGCGCTCCCGGCGAGATTAGGCGGTAATTACTATTTCCTGGGGCAGAGGACGCAGACGGGCTGACGGCGTTCGAGGAGGTTCCTTCTCAGGAGGGCGGAGGAAGTAGGATGCGTTCGTCGAGAACACGGGAAATAAATGAAGCGCTTGTTACAAGTCATCTAGTTACGGCGAAGAATCGATTTGTGATACCTAATGCATCCGACGTTATCGAATTTACGGAGCGCCGTACTCCTGAAACGAATATCTAATAATAAACTCCGCGGTAGGCTTTGTTGAGAGGCTCTTGAGAGGCTCGGCTTGTGTGTACAACATTCCGAATCGGAAAAACTGATTATGTTGGAATAGAGTGGAGTCGGCGGATTGGCTGCACCGGCGGCGAGGAGCTCCAGCCTCCGGGAGATATGATTGAATAAGTGAATCGAGCCTCCCTAATGAAACATATTGAACGTGTATCGAATCACTTAGCCGTGCCGCACTGCCGCCGCGCCGTCGTGCCGTTGTGCCGCCGTGCCCGCGTGGCCCGTGCCGACTTGCATATGAAGGTGAACACAATAACATTACCGGGGAGTTTCATTCTAAGAGGAAATAAATTCAATTAACTCCGACAACTTTAAGAGTCAAAGACGACTACGAAATTTAATCTTTATTTTCCAGAATAAATTTAGAGCGTCATCAGAACGGCTTTTCGTTACAAAACATTAATGGAAAAAAAAACGTTGTCTTGCAAACCCTTGAAGGGTGGTTTTAATCGAATCATTTATGGTCCCTAATTTATGAGATTTGCGCAACTTGATTATCATTTAACCGGATTAAATATGTAAACATTCGTAATTTTCCCTAAAACCACATTCCTGATAACTTATTTCACCGAAATGTCCCCAAACTATTGTTATGACCAGATGTAAAGTGTTCCTAGAGTCTTTTAGAATATTTTCTCTGTGAAACCTATATTCAAACTGCAGGCTTCAAAATAATTATCCTCAAAAATGTTAGGTGTTTGTATCGGTCGCAGGCGCTCAGGTTACTGTCAGGCTATAACCGGTCGTGAGTATGGTGTAGGTTGCAACACGTCACACTGCTGCGGACGCCAAAGCCCTTTGAACATGTTTCATCAAAAAATCCCGGCTTTGTAAGCTTTGTAGCCGTACACTCTCTCTAAAGCTGTCATCACACAAACTCGTCAATCCTTATTCGATATGTAATCCGATTTTATCGAATAATTTGATCCGTAAATAGTCGATTTCAAATCGTGTACACACTCGTCATTTAATTAGCGTACATCGATTGACTGGTGACCGTCACCAACTAAATTGTATCTAGTGCTTTTTGTGACTTCACACTACACACTATACCTACTCGTAGTACGAAGTTTGTTTTGTTATTTTGTGAAGTGTATACTAAAGGTAGGACTACTAACTCCGTCATTATAATGTGTGTTAATCAGATGATTAGCGTTTGTTACAAATATGTCGACCGTAGATTTTAAAGTCAATTCCACGTTTATCATAAATAGAATGTGGCGTGGGCTTCTGGGGTGAGGGTGGAGGTAGAATGGAGAAGGAAAGGGGCGGGGAGACGAGGTGCACTCGCACCAGCTCTGGCTTAGATAAAAAATGATCAGTATATTGATAAAAATAATATTAAAATAGCGTAAAATACGTTCTATTAAATACTTGTATTCAATACAATAAATAACAATAAGGATCTTGTAACAAAAACATTGCCTTAAATACGAGGAACCGTCAAATGAAGAAGATTTTTTTCATACAGTCATTAAAACTTTAATTTTTCAGTCACTACCTAATTAATTACTTTAAATAAGTTCTCTAAAATTTCCTTATAAATATTTACAATAAATTAAATGACAACTCTACTTTCAGTGTTTTAGTTTTATAAAAGATATGAATATTTGAAAACTATTTGTTGACATCGAAGTGTAAATGTCGTTAATTGGTTCGATCACGACGCGGAGCGCTAACTGGAGCTGAATAATTTGTTTATGAAGATGATTCGATGGACGAGTTACATACACGTACCGGGCGAGCGATCACACGGTCAGAAACGAAATAAAATGACACCTAGTATACAGATGTATTTGAAATCAATTAAAAATAATTTATAGAAAGTGGTATTAAAGAAAATTCTGGTATAATCTTCTTTTTTAACAAACGATTGTTTTATAAAAAATACAACAAGAAACAACTCTCAAGGCAAAGTTCCGCAAACAGAAATGACAAATATGTGTCCACGTAAGCTCTGAATATATTAAAGGGGGAAAAATTAAACGACGTAAATAAAAACAAGTCTAAGAAAACTCGACACGTTGCTTTTCTTTGAAAGAAGTGATTTAATTCATAATTTGTTTTGTATAAAACTTTGGCTAGCTAAATGTCTTTCGATTATTGTAACATCAGTTCAAGTGATCTCTTCAGACGTTAAGTTCCCTTTCGGTTTCCGTAAATCAGGATGAGGTGTAATCTGAAGTGCAGCGCGAAGTCTCAGGTGCGATACACTCACGCAAATATATTATGAAAATAACAACAGAATGGCTAGAGATGTGCCGTGTGTTACACTTGGAGACATAACATATAAAACATATACATTTATGAATTATTTTTCGTATTTTTCTTAGTTTTCTATTAATCTTATATTAAATTCATTCAAGTGATTTTTCTCTCCTTTTAGTTGAAGTATAAGTTCTACTATAGTAAAATATAATACGTATAAAAAGTAATGTTTCTCGTTTTCGTACTTCATGTACCTACATTGTTTGTTTCTTGCGATGTCTTATATTATAGGTACTAAGTGTGATAACACGAGCAAATGCAATTTAAAAAGTCATTATAATTTAGATTAGCAATACATTTAACGGTTTGAACAAAGTGCTTGGAAACTTTTTAAAATATCGACTCGCTACAAAGTGCGGACGAGACTGAGTGGGTGCTGGGTTCCGGGTGCTGGATGGGTGCTGGAAAGGTGCTGGGTGGGTGCTGGGTGTGACGTCGCGGCCGCATCCACAGCCAAACGGTAAACACTTTGCTGTAATCTCGAGATGAGAAAACTTTGAGTTCTCTTAATTCAGAAACTTATTCAACATCGTAACAACCTTAGAGGGGCCGAAGCCGCCGCGACGGACGACGCGCAAACAAACTTACACTTTAATGTTTGTCTTTATTAAAATATACGTTTAAATAACATGTACAATACTTTATTATAAAGATTTTACTAAATATTATAAGAAGACTATTTAGAAGTTATTAATTGTCTAAATAATCTATTACTATTGATATTAGTATTGTTGTCATAACTTTTTACTGGTGTTCTTAGATAACGTATGATCAGTTGAGAGTTTTTCTGTAATATCTTGCATTACAACACAGACATGTTGCTACAACGATAATTAACTTTTAGTGTTATTAAAATAGGTAAATAAGTAGTCTGTAGAATCGGTCTTTTTAATACATATATTTAGTTAACATATTTCTGTTTAACTGAGATGTGGAAGACTAAATATATTTATGTCACATTCCAACTTGTATTCATGTTTCAACTTTTGATAATGCCACATACACATCAAGCATATGTACAGACATTATAATTAGTTTCGTTTGTATTTAATAATATACAACTAAAATAGACTTTTCAATTCACTTTACTAAGAGTATATTTATATTTTACATATACATATATATACATGTCCTGCTGTTATTTTTATGACTGATTTCTTTGTCACTAGACACTAGTATTAGACGGTAGAAATTTCGTGAAACAAATTGTGATACATCTTTCGACGACAAAAACTTAGATGAAATCGAATCCTCTATTTTCGGACTCCTCAATTTTTACTAATAATAATAGGTTCAAATAAAACATAATTTAACTAACTTTGCTTTTAACTATTGCTAATTAAAGTTCATTTGTATTTTTTTTTGTTTTAACTGTTTCAAGTTAAGTTAATAACCATTATATTACAAGTGACAATGTTGTGTCCAAACTGTCATACGTCATCTGATAATTTGTTTTCCAAAGTGTAAATCATTTGTGGTGAACCTCCTGAGTTGGAGACACGTTTACGAGAGACGAAAAGACGAGGTAAATATTGTATAAAAATAAATGTTCTAATTCAATATTACCATTAAATAAACAGTACGCATAGCTTCGCGTTAGATTTTACTTTTATTATTACTTACATTCAGACTGTTTAACTAAAGTTAACCGTAAAAATATTAAAAGCTATATATTATGACAGGGTTCTGTTTAGATTCAGGTTGAAAATGAAAAAAATTAAAGCATCCACTGAAAGTCGTTCGCGTGTTCCGTGACGATCCAATTACAGAAAACGGTCGACGTTAGGGTATAACGCGAATTAAAAAAATGTACCTGGATTAAATGTTGCGAATATTTAAAACCTGTGCTTAGTAATAACAATTATGTTACTATAATTAGGAATTGTTACTTACATGTCATGTCAATTACTTAAGTCAGTGGTGGCCTAGTGGTTAATAGGCCCGCCTCTCATACACGAGGGCGCGGGTTCGATCCTGGCCCTGGCAAGTACCAATGTGATTTTTCCGAGTTATATGTACTTTCTAAGAGTATTTAGACATCACTGATTAATGCATTCCCAAAGAGGGTTGATGTCAGGCAGGCGGCCGGTCGTAAAAATAATTAGCCAAAACTATTCACAACATGTAAGGCAGACCCTGGCTAAATCTGGGAAATTGCCAGAAAGAAGAGAATTAGGAATTGTTACTTGTTTACTATAGATATAAGTTATAAATCATTTGTTTGTTTTATTCAGATGAGTGTCAACAAGCGTTCGCCTCTCAGCGATTCGGAGAGACCCGCCGTCTCTGTGACAGACATGGATCCCGTCATAGAAGAAAACGACAATGACAGGTAAATAAACAATAAAATAAAACACTCTAACATTTATTAATACATCCATTTTAGAAAAACTAATAAAAAGCAAAGGAAATCTGATGATATTATTACAAAACGATGAATTACAGTTTGTTCTAAATGATTCTTTACGAAAATATGTAATTTATATGACAAAATTCAGTTAAAACATAATGAATATACGTTTTTATATGTCTAAATATAGTTCTTCTTCTTCTTCTTCTACCTGGCAATTTCCCAGCTACAGCTAGGGTCTGCCTTACATGTTGTGAATAGTTTTTGGCTAATTGTTTTCACGACCGGCCGCCTGCCTGACATCAACCCTCTTTTGGGAATCAACATTAATCAGTGATGTCTAAATACTATTAGAAAGTACATATGATTCGGAAAAATCACATTGGTACTTGCCCGGGTCAGGATCGAACCCGCGCCCTCGGCGACGAGAGGCGGGCCCTTTTAACCACTGAGCCACCACTGACTTATATGTCTAAATATAGTTATTAATTAATAATTAACAATTTTACATAATCAAGTGGTCATTTTCAAACTTTTCAATGTAAAACACTCCGCAAAATAAACATCACTAACTATTTAATTAAAGTTTCCTTTGCTTCCATTCTTAGTTTCTTTCTAGTTTTCCCGTTCATTTCTCAGATATCATATCTCCGTGTAATCTGTAATATATATTAAGTTTAAGATAACCGAACCTACAATATGAATCGCTGTAACTTTTTACACTAACTTTGTCGTTTTTCCTCCAAGTCAATTCGCTTGCTGGATTAAAGCGTGAGCTTGGTTTTTAAACTCTATAACCAAAACAAACATTTCTTAAATATATATTTTTGGTTTGTGAATATATATTTCATGTATTCTGAATAAATCAATGTTTATATCCTTTAAACATTCACACTTGCACATTTCGGAGATTTTGTTCTCAGTTGAAGTCGATTTACGAAATATAAAATGCAACGAGACTGTACAGGGGGAGTCACGCCTCAAGTTATATTATAAGAACTTTATCAACTTAGAATCCTAATTATTTACAACAACCCAGTCATGAATATAGTTTTTACAATATTTACAACATTTTCTTTATTCTCATAGTAAAATACTATTTAAATATTGTTATATTATAATGTTTAGTGGGCGTCCTCTAGAGGATCTTAAACGTGTGATCCGTGTTCGGATGTGGTCGGAGGCTGTCGGATACAACTTCACAGGAGCTGAGAAAATATTTATGACGTTTGATAGAACGCTTTGTGATATACGGTGTCTTTGGTGAAGATTTATAAACTTATGAAATATTGATAAGTCTAAACTAAAAGTTCTCATTTAAATGAAACTTATATTTTTAGGATATACTACTCGTGCTTTATTTTTGTTAAAAATACATAATTCGTACGTTTCGGTTAGTTTTCAGCAACATAAATCACGGGCAGATGAGATGTGAATGATGAGAAATGAACACGCGTAGTATATACGACAAATATTAGTTTCATTTAAATGAATACTCGCGAAAGTATTAATACTCATTAAAGTCCATGTTCAAAGTATTATCTAAAACTACTTCAGCAAACACAACGCTGTGTGCAAGCTATGATGATGTATGGATTCTTAATGGTTGATGCCTTGTCTAGCGACGAGTCTTCGTACTCTGACGTAGGGCGTCTCCGTGAGCGGACCCAGGCTATGCTGTCTCCAGGTCTGGAGCCTCTCCTGAACTCATCCTCGTTGCCGAACAGCCGCCGTATGTCCAGCGACGCCGATCAGAAGTTGGTTGCGAATCTTAATACCAGGTAATTATAGGTGCCAGGTAATTATCACCAGGTAAATATCTTAATACCAAGTATACCTGTCAACCGCTTGCTTCTTATATAGTTTTCTATTCATCTACATTTAAGTACTATTACTTTTTTCACTTGTCTTTCTTAAACTACTTTATAAATAACGCAAAGGAAATGTTTGATTATATTTAACAAGTTTAATGCCAATTTGATATACTGAATAGAAAACATTTGTAATTTTATGATATAAGAAGTTCAATTAACTATTTTGAACATAAAAATTTACCTACGTTAAAAAACATTTTGCTACAACACATTCTGCTTTTATAAAAGTTTATTTATAATTTTAAATACAGAGAATTTTTTATCAAAGTTAAGCGGGAGTAATCAAATATTTACCATACTTCAAAAAAAATAACTGTGCATATTTTTTAATTACTATTACTTTATGTGCAGTCTTGTAATTAAAAAAAAAATATTTATTATTTTGTACATGTAATATTAAGTCATATTGACAGACTGTGAAAGAATACATCGTGAGGAAACCTGGACTTAAAATTTCAATTTAAAAGTTTGAAATCATCAACCCGTCTTGAGCAAGCGTGGTGATTAATGCTCAAACCTTCTCCATGTGAGAAGAGGCTTAGCAGTGGGCTCTGATAGGCTGATGATGATGATGATGATGACTTGTACTATACATATTTATATATCGACTTATCAACAATATCTTCTGTATAAGGCGTCCATCTGCAATCATAGCCGCTTTCCGAAGACCATCTCAAGCCCTGGCGTTATGTGCTGCCACTCAGAGAAGGTTCCTATCAGAGCTGACTCCTCACTCCAGGACTTCGGTAGCTTCACAAGAACATCCACCTACAACAGTCGATATCATGGGCAGGTAAAAGAATATTGTATTTGAAGGAAAAGTATTGAAAAACATTCTTGGACGGAAAATAGAGGCTGTACTAAGAACGCACAGAAATAATTTTAACTCTTAGAAAGTATGTTATAAATATTTTTTCACTTATGATTCTCTAGTTACACGCTCTTTATTATCGACACTTGTACTTCATTTTGTTGGTTTTATAGAACTTATATTTTTTAGATAATACTACACATATGTATTTTATTCTTTTAAAAATTACTTACCTACTCCCGACGTTTCGGTTACTTTTGGGCAACCGTGATCACGCGTGGTATAATCCGAAAAATATTAGTTTCACTTAATACTCGCGAAAGTCTTAGAATTCATTGATGGTTTTATTTTTGAAACTGTCTGCCTGTGCCGGGTACTTTGCTCGCTTGAGGCCTAAAAGAAATGATAATTATTTGGAAAATTATTGCAATTAGTAAAAGTAGTCATGTAATTAATAATGGTTTACACAAAAAGATAAGACTATTTAAAAATATTTTGAAGATAAAATTACTCTTATAAGTATCCAGTCATGTAATGCGAGTTTACCTACACTGTGGGAAACAGTATGCATATCCATATGTTTCAACCTACAGTGAATTGGTCACATTTACCGACAGCTTACACTTGACTTAATATGTAAACGCTTTTTATATACATTTAATTTATTTCAACTGTCATTTCATCTTTAATTTGAATTATAAAGAAAAATATTAACGAATTTACACACATACACACATCTCGTCTGCCCGCGATCACGGTAGCTGAAAAGTAACCGAAACGTCGCGTCGAGAGTATTTAGTTTAAAATAACAAAATACGCGTAGCAATCCGAATAATATTAGTTTAATTTATATTTATTAATTTAATTTGTTATTTCATAAATGCTTATTTTAAACTATTATTATTTAAATTCACTGATATAATTGTATATAATACATTAGTTGCTTATTTCTATCCGGACCGCTAATTGGATCATGACAAACGTAATGCGAGAAGTATCTCCCAGCGTCCATTATAATTGTTAAAGTGTATCTTTTATTACTGCGGAGTTGCCATTAAACGATGAATTGGAAGAAATTGAAATGTATATTTAGAGGATTGAATTTGTATTCACAATAGATCATAAATCAGGTGAAGCAGGAGATGACGGAAGGTGTCGTGGAGAAACGCTGAATGTAGACCACCCCCCGGGCCACTCGCGGAACTTTTACACATGTCCTATTGACACGCGGAGAACGCCTTCATATTATAATACTTTAATAATAAATATTAAGGACATTAGCTGACACACAGGTTACAAACGACTATATTATATCTTCTTTGAACCCTTGCGAGTTCCCGTCGGCTCCGAACGTACGCTTATGAATATGATGATGCGATATTGAAATTAAATAACACAAAATAATAACAGAGCTAAAATATTTATGAACCGTTTAACGAACGAGTGCAAGCGCGACCTATTTCCAAGCTAATAGTATTTCAGTAAACTGGCGCGTCGCTGCATTATGTCGTGACAATACAAGCCACCTATAAGCGTCAACACCATTCAGAAGCACACCCTTTATTTGTTAATGGATAGACAGCTCGACAATGCTTCTCTGAGCATTCAACATATAAATGATTCTCGCAAACTGTAATTAAATCGGAATATATTTCCATACGGCTCATATCTCGATCGCTACACAATGCTGTTCATTATTTATTTGTGTTTTGTTGTAACTTTGTGTCCATTGAGTCTTTATGAGATCGATTAAGTGGAATGAGACGTATCTCGGTTGTCAGTGAGGCTCTAAGCAAGGCTCTGTCCGCGCTGTATGCCAAGTTGCTGGTGGTCCTCGGCTTGGCCTTCCCCGTCACTGAAGTTATTGCAAAAGGTGTTCCCGACGCTTACTACCAGGTAACGTAGGTACATAATAAAATATTACAAGCTACACCCACGACTGATCTGATACTAATATTGAACTCGTATTTTTATTTCAGGGCTTTTATTTATATTTATATTTAGTGTCCCTCGTATTCATAATATTTCTTTACGCTGACCTGATGAGGGAGAAGGCATTTAATATGATTATTAATAGTCGAGGTAACTACATATGTGATCTGTAAACTTTTTATACATAATATTCATTTCAAAGTCTGACTGACCACTAGTTCAAGACATTAGTATTCTAATTTGCCCAACAAATGAGACATTAAAATGTCATGTCTTTTGCATAATCACTCCTTCTAACAATTACAACTGGCTTCTTACTTTGTATTCAACGGACGTCTGCTTCCATTTCAATTGTCATTTGAAGTCGTCTCCTCACATACGTTTTAATGAGTCAGTTAGTCCGCAATGTCACCGTAAATACGTATAATATTTTTTTTTTTGAGATGGAACCCACAATGAAGACAAAAACACTCCCGGTAAAGCGACACCTAAAGAGAAGATAAAACAAAAGGAAACGATATCTCGTTACGGCAGTTTTTACTTAAGACTCGGAGCTATTGGTAATTCCTCGCTAATGATTGCTGTCTATTATTTATTTCGTGATAGAAATAATATTTGAATATTTCCAGCGTTCGGTATCGGGTCGATGGTGTACAGCGGCTTGGAGTTCGGTGAATATTTTGAGATGACCGACCGATGTCGATCATTCCTATCAGCATTGACACCAGCCCTCCGCATGGCCCTGACTCTCGCTCAAATGCAGTTCATATTTCTAACGAACAAAGACATCGAAGCCGGCAGTCACAAAATGATTCAGAGGTTCGGTTTCATGCATATGATAGCGACGAATCTATGCGAATGGTTATACGTACTAGTTGAAGAGACGAAACATGAAATACATCACTTGGAGCACTCTCTCGTCTCGAAACAGAATGTAACCTTGAATAAATCAAATGAGATACCATGTCGAAGATCAAACGTGATGGGTGCGCTGGTTCATAACGCCTCCCCGTTCCTCTTCCCTTGTACGATCGAGTACTCCCTTATCTGCGCTGTCATATTATACGAAATGTGGAAAGAGGTAATGCTTAGGAAAACGGTGTATAGTAAAAAAATATTATTGAATTCAACGAATAATCCAAATGTGATTTCAGGTTAAGTGTACTCCAGAGGATATCGAAAAGAAGCTCAATTACCCTAAAAATAAATCGCGTAACAATTCAGTGACGCCGGAGAAAATTTTGCAGCAGTTTGGTAATCTATAGAAGTTCAATATTAATGAGGTTCTTTGTTCGTAACGTTGTTTATACCATGAGGTTTCTTTCAGCCAACATGCTGGGAGTCAGTTCTCCTCACGGCAGCCACACAGCTCTGCATCACTTCTCAGTGGATTGTTCTCACGCTCACCGCGGTCTCTTCTCCGGGATCCTTCTCATTGTGCTCACCATCATCTCCTTAATCATGTTTTTCGTCTTAGCTCGTACTCCTGAAACGGTTAATGTAAGATGTCCCTACATTTCACATATATATGAAATTACTTGTAAAATTATTATATAATTAGGATGCAATTTTAGGACGCCATATTCGAGGTCAACGTTTGTGAACTGATACTATACACTTTGACAATTCTGGCATCAGCTGCTGCTTTAAAACAAATGAGAGTTCTGCCATACAAAAGGAAATCTAGAGGTTGGAAATGTTACAAGATCTATGTGGCACAGTTATAATTCTTCTAAGTACTATATTTCGTATATTTTGTTTCGTCCCAGCGGTGTTATGTCTCGACACGTCATTACTGATCCTGGCTCAGTCTGGCATGTTCATATACTGTATGTTCAGCCTCATCGGTTGTCATCACACTATGAACCACAGTAACGGCGCGGGACTCACTGGATTCTTTTCAGAATTTCTATCCCTTAATCAGGTAACATTCATAACAAAAACTTTGGTTCAGTCTAGTTTAATTCGTATAACTTGAATATAATTACTCAGATGAATATTATGTCTCGTTCCTAGACCATACTCCAGTCGTTGTTTATCATCGATGCCTGGTGGAGACGCAGTGCCACGTCTGAGCAACGGAGGAAGAAACCTGGCAGGCAGCTTGTGACTTTCTTACTAGTTGCTAATATGGCGATGTGGGCCATTAACACATTGGAGAAGGTACCGACTGCTATAGTCATTGTTACATTTTTTGTCATAGTTTTCTGGTGCTAATACTCTTTTTCTGTCTAGAATCGAGCAGAATTCCGTCCAGCACACCTGGTCTTCTACGGACCCTGGGCGTGGACCATCATCACGCACACGTCCATGCCTCTCGCGATATTCTACCGCTTCCATTCCACTATCTGTCTCTTCGAAATATGGAGGAACAGCTACAAGAACAAACCGATCTACTTGGATGTTTGAAATAAATTGTTATTTCCAAAACGTATATTATTTGTATAGATCGCCATCTATAAACCCATTCTTTAAATATGAACAAAAAAAACAGTAACATAATAATAATGCAAAATTATAACCAGGAGATGTCAAGATCTATAAACATATTAATAATTACAATATATCAATGAATTCTGGTTCAACATACCATTCAGAAATGTTATTTTTTAAATTATTTGGTCAAATTTCCTCTAAACGTGACGATGCATTTAACATATCCAACGCCGCCTTTTGTCACGAGCACCGACTAACAACAATACACGCTAATTGCTTGAATTTGTTACGTATGGACACACACACACTCATACACACACACACACATAACAAAACAAGTGATCATCGAGCCATTAGAATTTATAATTGAATAGTTTCAAAATGACAATCGTTGACCTCAAACAACTAGTTCACATTTAATAATTTCTAATACAGCAAATCAGTACAATACAGTCTTTGTATTAGTCGAAAAGCAAACTAATATTTTAGCACTAGCAACCGTGATCACGGACAGACGAGATGTGAAATCATATCCGAAAATATTTGTTTCATTTAAATGAATACTCGCGAAAATCTTAGATCTCATAATCAAACAATAATAAAATGCAATGATTAATAGTAAATATTAAAATATAGACACTCTAAACAAAACAACCTAACCACAGCCTTACCGTCTTATTATTACAGTTTCTAGTACTGTGGACTTTCGAAATAAAATACTAAGTGTTTATTACTATCAATACTCTCCTGGTCACTGGTCGTGGAAATTGAAAGTATGTATAAACAAAACAAATAATCTGTTTAGACGACATTATATCCTGTGAGTATACAGATGTGAATGCAAAACGAGCACCATCTGGTGATGAAATAAACTAAAGAGGAAATAAAAATATCATTGGTTTTCTAAATGGTTACATACGCGCTACATATTAAGAAATAAATGAACATCGCCGGGGCGATATCATTGTATTGATAAAATATCATATAACGAGTGACGCCGCTGACTCCGCGGAACGAACACCAAGCCGTGTGAACCAGAAGATTACACATACCACACAAGCTTTGGAATGGTATTGCTATCCTAACATCGGGTCAATCAAGTAGTCTTAGGTGTAGGTTATAAGTTTTAATATGTAATTCTTATTATAATATATGTATACTAGAAGACCCGACGCAGTTCGTATCGCCCTATAATAAAGAAATATCTGTTACGTTTTTTTATTTATATTTTTGGAGTTTACCTATTAAAGCCATAAATCTCCGCGTTTTGAAGTGAGACAGAATGATTAACATATTAGTTAGTTGTCAAATCTAATATAAAAAAAAAGGTTTTTATCAACAACTACTAATAAATTAAAAATTAATTAGAAAAAACATTGTCCAGCGGACAAAATTGTGAATCTAAACCATTCCCAGATCCCCTTGAACAATCAAAATCGGTTTGAGAGAAGTTCAGTGACATACACACTCACAGAAGAAATATGTATATAAATATGTAAGTAAGTTTCGTAGTTTTCCTGGAACCAGATGCCACCCTATATAATTAATTGTAAATAAACTTGAGGATTGTAATTCTATCTCTTTTTTGTATTTTATAACATTAAATGCACCTCTCAAATTTCAATGGCCTGCACTAATAGTAACAAGATAAAGAGTTAGTTACAGTAATATATACAAATTAGTCCACCAATTTACATAAAAATCATTAATGTGAAAACCAATATCTGATTGCTACAATCATGGTACTTTTTAGCATCTTGTTTTTATTTTTTGTGTCCAAATAAATGACTCTCACGGAAACTATTTGTAGCCAAAACACACAACTACTTACAATATTGTTTAAAGCTGCCATCTCATAAAAAGAGAAGTTGCATGCTTTGTGATTATATATTTTTTTCGAAACTTTAATCGAAATTATTAAGAGAGTTTCAGTACAGTATTTTTTTTATACAATTATGTTGGTATTTTTTTAACATATATGTCTAAGTTTTCAGTGTCTCATAAACCAATATTGGTTTTTCCGTACACTGGAAAACTTTTATGTTATTGTAAATTAAAAATTATTCCTTGTAAATATATTTTTAAACGTAAGTGAGGTCATGATATCGGTTTAGTGAGGACACCACACGGCGAGTGAATATTGATTTGCTTAGGATGTACCTACCATTATTATGTTTTAATATCACCTCGTAGTTTATTATAAAAATATAAATAAAATACTTCTCTTTGAAGTCACATCTCCGACCGTACGCTAGTTAAATCACACAACATATAGTTAATGAATAATCTTTAAAAGGACTTCAGTACGCAGAAAGCAATCAATTTTTCCATCAAGACTATTAAAGCGAAGGTAAGCGACACGTCGGAAGAGCGTTTAGATCTAGACTTATAATTAATAGCTGCTGAAGTCCGAGGGCGGAGGGAGAGGATCGTTAGGAGAGTCGTCTGAAACTGACACTGGCTGTGCTAATTATTTGCCCGAAGAACATCCAGCCCACAGACTAACGTGAAACGCATACACCGATTCTATTCATTTCAAATACGGAGAAAAAAGCTGTGGAAAAAAGCCAAGAGAAATAGCACCGCTGATAATACTCATTCATACATATTAATTAATTTTTAAAATACTGAAATGAGTCAAATTATAAACTATTATTTTTATTGAATTAAAAGGAAGCATTGTGATTTTTATATATATATGTACAAAAATAATAGAACATTTTACTTTAATCAATATAATTGACAAAAAATTAAATGGTTGAAAAAAAATATTTAACCAGCAAAAATAATATTAAATATTCATTTTGGTGCCTTTAATTTCTGTCTCTTCATGACACATCAGTAACCTTATTATTAATTATCATGAACTAATTCCTCACACACTCACATATACATATAATATATATGTATCTAAAGTTTACGTTTGTGTGTTTGTCTAATTCTCATCTCACACTTGATCGTCACAGTACAATATTAACACTTTGGGAATACACACTCATCGATAATAAATGTGTTAAAAAAATAAAATAAATAATGACTAAGAATAAAGAAAGATATAATCACGGCACTACGAAGGATAGCCGGGAGACATCGGAACCTTTGGTGGCTCTAGCAGAAGATAGGAGGTGAGTAAAGGGTTCATTAAAGACGGTATTAGTTGAAGATCAGAAACAAAACAGTTCACGTATACCTGACTTACTGTTATAAATAATGTCAAATAAATGTTTTTGTAAATAAATCGTGTTTAAACTCAGTTCGGAGCGAGTCGAGCGGCGAGATGTGTCCTTATACGATTACAGCTAACTGACGTCCGATAAAATTACATTTAGTGGAACGACTGTTCCCTCGATTATTGAGAAAGAAACAAACATCATTAGTATCGAACGCCGCGGGATAAAACGAGGCTCATTAAGATTAACTCGCATAGAAAACTTAGCTTCGACTCGACGCCTTCCTCTAAAACATTTATAAATTATATTAGCCGCTGAACAAATGCATTTATCAAAGGTTCGGGTGGAGACATCGGTGTACTTAACTGGGGTAGTTCAAGAACTTTACCGTAGTAAGAAAAACAAACATGTGACTCGGCTGCGGGTAGTTCCGTTTTATTGTTAGTATAGCTGTAATGTCATTATTTTAATTAGTTTTGTTTTCGTATGATTACTAAAGTTATTATTTATGTCTCTGTTTAATTTTGGATGTATTTCATCAGGGAGCGACCTCCTCACTATCTTCCCAGGCTGAGTGTGGTTCTACCGTCAAGTTGTAACTCCAGCGTGGACCAGATTCCTTCACCAGCTCTGAAGGAGACTCTCTCACATGGAGAGTTAGTATCATTATATAAAATTTTTTTTTACTAAACATTTACCACAATACTTTTTCATATCCAATGTTTCACAATTTCGATAAATAAATTTATATTTTGTATGCTTTCATACGACCAAAGCAATGTTGTAGGATTAATAAATTATTGATATTATTTTTTTGTAACACGACACCTTTTTTTATTATTAGTTAGAAGTCTCTTATTGCTTTTTATCTCCGCAGAATCTTAGTTCTTCCAAATTTCAATCTCATACACCATACTAGTAATGAAACATTTATTAGTTTATTTAAATTGAACTTATTTTTGTATTTGTAGCCATTTTCTACACGAAAGCTTATTTCAATCTTGTCTCCTCACAATCTGCGAGTCACGGAGTTTCAAATCAATTGAATACGTCAGCATAATATGTAATAATTAGCTGAATGCGTGCTAATTTCATTAATTATACTAATTAATACAATATATCACGTTGTTCCAGCGAGTCTATGACTGTGGTCCTCTCAGCGTTTTATGCAAAATTATTAATAGTTTTAGGACTGGCCCTGCCGGTCACCAGCACTATACAGAATGAACTTTACACAAACATTATATCCGATGTAAGTATTTCTATCCCTACTAATATTATAAATGCGAAAGAAACTCTGTCTGTCTGTCTGTTACGCTTTCACGCCTAAACCACTGAACTGATTTTAATGAAATTTGGCACAGACATAGAGTTGACCTTGAGAAAGAACATAGGGTCGTTTTTATCCCAGACTTTTAAAAGGTTCTCTTGTTAACGCGATATTCCACGCGGGCGAAGCTGCGGGCGGAAAGCTAGTAATTTAATATTTTCTTATTCATTTCTATGTACAAGTTTATTGCAAAACCATTGAACTGTAATGTTTGTTAATGTACAAGTTTAATAGTTATATCGCAGTGATCTGTCCAATCAACTGTATAACTTTGTAATGTTTAATTTTATCCTTTTCCAGATCTTTACACTGTATCTGTATATAGTGGGTATGATCTTCTTGGCGTACACGTTCTTCCATCTACGTATCGCCAAAAATATCAAAGATGGCAAGTGATTTTTTTCTATTTTCTTTAAAACTGAGAAAACTTAAATGTTCGTAATAATTTACTATATATTTAATTATTACTGAGTACTCAAAGATCAATGAATTCGACGTAGTTTAATGAAATGAAATAAGAATTAAATATGTACATGACTATTTGATCTATTTTTATTTATTCTAAAAAGTATGTATTGAATTCACCATAAACTGAAAACGGCATATATGTACATCTATTAAATTGTTGTTAAGATATTATAATAAACGACTTCTTACCTGTACCTAACACATACAACGTCTTATTGTACTGTTGTAGGACATATATGACCCTAAATGAAACACAACCGTCTTCTCAGACAGGAAACGTACTCGTTACGGCAGCTTCTACCTCCACATGGGTGTGGCTGGCTTCGGAGTAGGCTCCATCATCTACTCCTGCCTCCAATTCGGAGAGTACTTCGACCTCTCGGGAGACTGTCAGCTCCTCATCGTCGCCCTCAAACCAACCTTCCGCATACTCTTCATGATCGCGCAGACTATTTTTATATTCTCGTACACGGACGTAAGATATATCATAATATACATTATTAATATACATTATTAACATTCAATATTTACTATTTATATTTAAGAGGTGATCACGATGTGTATTCAAAAATATTTAACATAATTCAAGTGATTTCAACCAGATTATTATATCACGACTTTATTTAATTTTCCAAAACAGGTTCTGGACCCTATGAGAGGAGTAGTCCTGGATAGATTCGGTCTGATGCATCTGATAGCGACCAACGTCTGTGAATGGCTGAATGTGGTCATTCAGGAGACGAGGGACGACATACGAGCTGTGGCCTTTCATGAACCGGCGCTAATGAGATACACCAACATCGAAGGACCTTCCAGGACGACTTTAACTGAAACAAACTTAACTTCTCCACCTAATCATTTGAATGAAACAGAGGTCATCACAGCTGGCCAGGGTCTTGAAGCCTGGAGCTGTAACGTATCGAACGTTATATCTCCTCTAATTAGGAATATGAATCCTTATTTGCGGCCGTGCGGAGTCGAGTACAGCCTGCTGTGTTCTATTATTATTGTTGTAATATGGAACGATGTCTGCACGGTTCCTGGCTCGGTAGGTATTAACCTCTATATTGATATTTATTACATCTAGGCATTATAAAGTTTTAGCATTTTACTCTTGTTTATACATATATGGAGTATGTTTTAATGATTTTACAGCTAGCGAGGGTCTAGTATGTGTGTAATAGAAATGGTAAAGAACTAAAATGAGCTTAAAATATTAGATAATTAAAACTATTTTATGGAACTTCATTATTTCATGTATGTTAGTATATTATTGATATATTTTATCTTCAGATAAAACTATAGCTATAAGCTTCAACAATATCTTTCATCTATTACAATAAAGTCGTAGTATCGCCACCCAAAATAATCGCAAGAAGTGAATTTTCCATCATTTATTCAGTAATATTGATTATCCTATTAATAGTAACTTGTCAATTACCTCATTAGTTATTGTAAAAATTACTTAACTTTATAAAAAAATATTGAAAATTAATGTATTTTTGGCAGCAGGACTTTTTAAGTTTTATTTAACTACTTCCTCTTTTAAGAGATTATTTGAAAATTTTAAGGAGACGGAACTGATTACAAAAATATACCACACATTGTTTAAAACATTTCAATGTGTACCTGACACATTTTCTAGTCGTGTCTCTGGTATCAGTAATCAATTTAGGCTGCCGAAATCTAGTGATTTAATAAGATCAGATTGTTAATGTGGATATTTAAAGTGATAAATATGACTGTATGTCAACAAGCCTACAATCGTCTGTGGATTACAGGAAATAGTTATATTCAGAATGAACTCAATTCAGTCTCATTTATGCAAAACGGCCATAGATTTTTTTTTATAGAATACTATACGTGTGTCGTGGCAGCCATTCCCTCCATCTGTTACTCCATTAATAGCCAATCCTATGTATTTTATGATATATTTAAAACACTATCCGAAAATTTAAATGTTATTTTCTATTTATTTCAAATCTTGGAATGATTTATGGCATCCAAAATGAAAAAAGAATGAAACTTAATATTGATAAAATTCCGCTCAACAATTACGTATCTCTTCTAGAAACCAATAGCATCCAATTCCAAGTTAGAGAAGAAGCCTTGCTCTGTGAGAGTGAAACCGATGAACCATTTCTCAGTGGACTGCGGCCAGGCTCACAAGGGACTGTTCCTGGGAGTGGCTGGTCTCGCGGCGACCATCGTCAGCCTGATGATCTTCAAAGGACTGTTCCAGAAGGAGAAACACGTCGAACTGGCTTTACTGACGGTACTATTGTAATAAGATAGCATTTAGACGCCCACCGAGCAAAAAATATCAGGAACATTTCAATTTTGTCAGTTAATTTGATATGAGCAGTCACATATTTCAGAATTACATTTTCTTTATTCCTACTCCACAAACAAAAAAAAACACGCAATTTCAGCCATTATTGGTCCTTAATAAGTTTTGAGAACTACTGAATACACGAATTTTCGAGTATGTTAAAACGCTAGAAGCATTATTCTGTTATTAAACGTCGCGTTTATTCAGATCAACGTGTGGGAGACGGTTCTATTCGTGTTGATGTCCGTGGGGTCCGCGGCTTGTCTCCAGCGCATGAGGTCCCTGTCTTCTCCACGGAGAGCCCCCGGGTTACCCCTGGAGCACGCTCTCCTATTAGTCACGCAGTGCGGGGTCTACCTCTACTACTTGTTCCAGATCATCGGCGCAGGATTCTCCATACACAAGTTCCCAAGCGCCCGGCGCGCCACGAGGTTACCCACCATTACATTTTAATTCATTTCTACTGTCGCTTTCATTAAATGCTTTATGATTGTATGGATTGTTTTGTGCGTTTTAATTCATATTTTTAAATGATTTGGCTAATATATCTACAAACATGATAGTTTTCGTTTATTATCAAACTCAAATTGATTGTCGTCTGTCATTTATTGTCTTTAAATTATTATCATTCATTGTAATCCAAATACAAATATTCTTACTACCAAATACTGTTAACGAGCTGCCCAATCCCTGTCTGAGTATTTAATGTTGACAGCCTGTTCATTTTCCTCTCTTTATCATTTCAGAATAATATCTCCCCTGTGCGCGGTGATCCAAAGCTCCTGTCAGACTCTCCTCGTGTTGGATGCCTGGTCTCGTCGCAGCTCTGGTCGTGAGGAGCGCCCTGGCCGGCAACTAGTCACCTTTCTCCTGGTCAGCAATTTCTCCCTCTGGATGCTCAACAGGGTCAAGAATGCTCGCGCTGAGTTTCATCCATTGCAGGTAACGGCATCTAGTGATTTATTGGAGGATTTCACTAGCTATGAGAACTGACTCTGTCTATTTTAAATCCAGATGGAGTTCTACGGCGTGTGGGCGTGGACGATCATCACTCACGTGTCAGTGCCGCTGTTGGTCTGCTACAGGTTCCAAGCTACCGTTTGTTTTTACGAAATATGGAAGAACTCATACAAGAGGAAGAAAGAGTACGACAGTGAACTAGATGAGGTTGAATTAAACAAATTAGATTCGCCGTAATAAAGTTACATTGATTTGTATTTTATATTTTAAGCTTCCTCCCCAAAACGCGATCAAAGAAGCTTTGTTTTATTTACAATCTCCAAAGTCTTAACAACTTATCTCTAGTTCCTCAAACTTACAAAAACCTCTGTTACAATAATACTGCCAATACAAACTGGTGATGACTTGGTTTTGAGAGGCTCTATTTGTAACTGACATCATGTAAATCTCTTATAAATACCTCATCTTACATTTCCTCTATAAGATATGACAATATATTTTCAAATCCCGTCGATGTACATATATTGGATTAATTATAAATAGTATTTTTAAATACAAACTTGATTTATTTGATTTGATAACAAATTTCTTGTGAACGTAAAATCTCAAATTGTAAAACTGGTTTATATTTAATTGACCCTACTATTTATTTATTGTATTCTTGATAAAATATATTATTTAAAAATTAATCTTTCATGTCACAGAAGTGCAGTAGTTATTTGCTTAACTCATTGTACCACTTAAATACAGGTACATAGGTATTATAGTTATTAGTTTTCAATTAAGTATATTGAAGTGACTTTTAAAGTGTAAGAAACATTAATCATACAAGTATTTTTAAGTATTTTAAATTACTAAATAATAATATTTTTAGTATATTATGATCCATGTACGTTCACAATTTATTTTGTAATTTATAGTTTCCCAAGATAACCTTAATCTTATATCTTTAAATGAGCAATTCTTGTACATATATTTATATATAATTCCAATTATATATAAATATATATACTAGAATAAATAAAATTAAAATATACAAGAAATAAAATTAAATAAAAAGATAAATATATAAGATATAATTTGAATCTCGGAATCGGCTCCAATGTTTTTCATGAAATTTAGTTTATAGGGGGTTACGGGGGCGATACATCGATCTAACTAGGAATCATTTTTAGAAAATGTCATTTTATGAAAAAAATAACAAAACGGGGTTGTTTAAAATATGACTATTCCTGACATCTATTGATAAATAATAATAGTACTTTTTGCTAACTACTCTTGCTAATTGCTTTAACGACACAACAGCAGATGGCGTTGTTTATTAACAGTAAGTGAATGAGTGTTTGTTTTGAGATGGAACTAAAAAACTTTTGTTGATTTATATTGTTTTGTGTCTTCTTAACGTGTTCACTTAAAAATACACAAACGAAATTTAAAAAAAAAAACACAAAATAAATAGGTACTAATAACCCGTTAATCCCGAGCAAAGCTCGGTAACCATATTATTGTATAATAAGATAATTCATCTTTATCCAATACATTTCATTAAGATACTTCATAGATCCCAATAACTGAAATAACCAAAATCCTCTATGAATTTTTGTTATTGTTTCTTTTATATTCACTTTTTTATATTCAAACGTATAATGTCTTTTTTTTTTAGCAAGATAAATGCATATTATGAGAAAATTCTATTAGGTTTCCGTTGTAACAGATTAAATGAATCTTAAGTGTCAGATCTGTTTTTTGTGAAACTGTCAAAGCTGTCATTTAAAAATTGTATCACCCTACAACAACCAAACTACAAAATTGTCTAAACCAATAGAAGTCCTGGTTCCATTAATATTTCTTTTACACAGTACGGTACTTTTAAAATATGGCTACAGCGATGGACGTAGATGAAGAAGAAGTCGAAATGGCATCGTCGAGCAGTGGCAAAGGCGACAAAAAAAGATTCGAAGTTAAAAAGGCAAATGTCCATAATTAGCTTACTCATTGCAATGATGTTTTGTTACTATTGTGCTTAAGCGACTTTTTAACGTGAATTTCTTTATTTTCAGTGGAATGCAGTAGCTTTGTGGGCTTGGGGTATGTGCTTTGAAGTGTATAACCTTTAATATTTGATCCACGAAACGTCTCATTGAAGTGTGATTATTTATTTTAGATATCGTTGTGGACAACTGTGCTATTTGCCGTAACCACATCATGGACCTGTGTATAGAGTGTCAAGCTAATCAAGCTTCTGCTACTAGTGAAGAATGCACAGTGGCTTGGGGAGTTTGCAATGTATGAAACTTACAAATCATCAAAATGAGATATTTTTAAAATATATTTCTTATCTAAATGTTACATTTCTTACTTTCAGCATGCTTTTCATTTCCACTGCATCTCTCGTTGGCTAAAGACAAGACAAGTGTGTCCTCTCGACAATAGAGAATGGGAGTTCCAAAAGTAAGTTGAACAATATTTATTGTACACAAAAGAAAATTTTATATGAGTATGTATTAGCGTATAAGTCAAAAATTCTTATGGGGAGTGCACTTGGCTAGAGATATTTAAACATTGTCTTAAATCTATTTAATGATATATCATATCATATCATGTCATTATAAATGATTAACAACTCTGTTCATTTTCAGGTACGGACACTAGCAGGTGACGGCACTTGGAGCATCATTGTGAAACAAGAAATTGAATGTCATGTCAGTTTAAGTTTTCTAATAAACTCACTTCTTATAATAATTGTTAATTATTTTAATGAAAATGTAATTAAAACTCAAAAATATCGGAAACTATAGACGGTAAACTGAAAATATTAAACCAATTTGTTTTTCAATATAAATTCTTTGAGTTCTAACATCTTTGTATATTACTGTAATTGATTTGAGCAACAAAGATAATAAATTTTTTTCAGCCACCATGTCTCACTCATTCTTGATAACCTTCTAATAATGAGATTTATGTCGGTCATTGTCAACTTTCAATCTACAATACATAGGTATATGTATATAAAATTCTCATGTCTTTGATGGACCGATTTTGATGAAATTTTGTGAGCATATTGAGTAGCTCTGAGAATCGGCCAACATCTATTTTTCATACCCCTAAGTCATAAGAGTTCTTCACCCTTAATTATTTATTTTCAGACAGATTTTTTTTTTGTTTTTATTTTTTTATTATATAGAACAAAAATACATACAACCAAAAATTTTTACTTTTTCCTCACCAACTCTAATTTTTTTATAATATGACAAAACAACATTTGCCCAGTCAGCTAGTTATTCATAATTTTCAAATGAAATCAAAGCTGTAGTGTGTTGAGGCATTTTATTATCATAATTAAATGAAAATATTCATAGACTAACTTGATAACAAGATGCAATTATTTCACTAAATTGAATTTTTACATACACTATTCCATATGGGAATATCACATGGCCAGCTTGGGGCCGGCCCATACATCATACATACATCACCGACATGTATATTACAGTACATTAGTAAATGATGCGCATCTTTACATCATGAGGCTACTCCAGACATCATGCTAATACTACGGTGCCTCTAATTTCATTCATTATTTGAGACTAACTTTCCCCCGTCTCGCTGAGGCGTTGTGTACAATTCATATGTACATTATATTCATATAATAATTTTGTCATATTTCTGTTAAAAATCGCTTTATACAAATGTTAAAAAGTAAAATTCATTGCATGCTCCTTTCCTACTCTAACATATAATCTAGGTTCATTGAGTAAGCAAACTTTTATAGTCGGTCATGTTACATTTCAGGGATGAGTTTTTTGGAATGTTAGAGGGCGCCACCGTCGTGTATCCAACGGTCTATATTGTCATGTATGGTACAGGATAGTGAGTCTATTGCATGCGCATCATTTACAGTAAGTGAAGGTCGATCTCAGTAACTTGTATTCCTTTAGGCCGGAATTACTTTACAAGAGGTCCTCACTCCTCAGTGGCTGGTGGCCTGTCTTCGTGTCTCTTAAAGCTCGTTACCAGCCGTTCCTCCCGACGGCTCATGCTGTTTGTTTCAGTATACACTAGTGAGTAATTCCGGCTTACTGTTTGTTCTTCGCTGTCCTCCACCTCTCCTCACATCATAACGGGAACTAGCAAAGGTCGCGTCGTCCTCGCGACGCATTCATTAAAGCTGAACGACGTTTGAACATCCCGAACCGAAGCCCCCGGGCTCCTCGCGTCTATAAGTGTCAAACTATCACAATACTCGAATTCGAACATCACGTCACGAAATAAATAGTAGATAAAAATAATCCTAGTCAGTGAGAATTAAACTAATAAGAGAATACGAGCGGTGGTAGGTCAGTCTGCGGTGAGCGCGGGCGGCAGGTCGATGGTGCGGCTCTCGTTGCCGAAGATGAGTCTCAGCCTCTTCATGGGCGGCAGCGGGCGGACGGGGCTATGTTTCCTCCTCTCCTTGGAGCGGCGTCTCTTCTTGAGGCGGCGCGCCGTGTCGGGGTCGACGCCCTCCAGCCGCAGCACCTCGTACTCGGGCACCTCCTCCTCCACTACGGGGCTCCTCTTGACCCTCAGCGTCAGTTTGAGCCCCCGTCGCGGCGGCGTGCAGGGACACTCTCCCCCACAGTTGGACTTGTCCGCCAGCCACTGTCCCTCGCACTCCTTCTTGTTCTCGTCCTTCTGTTTCTTGCCTTCCTTGTCCTCGCTGGGGTTCACGTTTTCTCTGAAGTCACAACTCTCCGTGATGCTCGCGTCTTCGCTCACAGTCTTCCTCTCTCCGGGTCGTTTCTCCGCGGGGTCCGTGTCCTCGGGTTCTGTCTTCACATGTCCCGGTGGAGGCGTCTCTGTCGCTTGTGGTGGAGATTCATTCTCGTGACACTCCCCGCCTGTGTTCGTTCCTTCATCGCCACTCCTAGTTTCTATATGTGTCTCTATATCGTTATTCACCGGCTCGTGTTCCTGAGTAGGTTCCGTTTTCACCGTCTGTGTATCCGTTTCTGGTTCCGGTAGATCCGGTTCTGTTTTCGGTGTGCTGTGATTTCTGCATATTTTCGTTTCCGATGTGGCTTTCGTGGTATTCCTTACTTTCGTACAGACGGCGGGCACGCTGGACTCAGTGAGTCGCCTGTGACTTCTTAATACTATTCCTGAATGTGAGTCGCGGCTGCTACACGAGCTCGCGACGCTACAACACCTCGACTGAGCCTGAGTTCCGTTGAGAGGTCGGCTGCTGTCAGCTCTCCGCCGCAGCCTCTCCCCGCGACTGGAGGCCGAGGACTCCCTGCTCCCCGGCGCGTCCTTCTTGCCGCTCCCGTCCATCACGTCCGCTATACATCCTTGTGCTATCAACAGCTCCGCGTCGTACTTCGTCAAACCCTTCTGCTTCATTTCCTTCATACTCAACGGAGACACTATAGTGGAGACCTGTCCCGCGGGTGCTATTGATTTTTCGGAGCTTTTACTGTTTGCAGGTTTCTGTATTTGCTTCGCTTTAGTCCTATTTATTCTATTATCTGTTTCTCTAAACCTGTATCTAGTGGCCTGCTCGTCGTTGTGAGCATTCTGTACTGAAAATGCTCCCTTCCCTCGTCTCTCACATGTCTCACATTCACAGTAACAGTTTCCGTTGCCAAAGAAGTCTTCTCCGTAGAAGCAGGTGATCTCTTCCCCGACCTCTATATCTCTCAACACCCTTACAAAGGCTTTTCCCCGGTCGGTTGCTTCAAAGGTACAGGTTGGCCTGCAGTCATGATTTATATAAGCGGCGGGTCCCAGCCACAGCTGGGCACAATTTTTTCTACAACTATACATAACTGAGAAGTCATTTTTCCCCGGATGAAGGAGCTGCTTCTCCTCTTCCTCGGTCATCTCAGCGATACAACCCACTAGGAAGTCGATTCTCTCATGCTTGAAAAACTTTTTAGTAGTTGAAATCTTAGCTCCGACTCTTCCTTCTAATGAATATCTATAACACGGTTCTATAACAAAGCCAGCCTTCTTGTCAAAAATTCTAAGATAACGGTAAATCTGAAAACACAAACAGTAAATAGTTAAATACAGGCATATGATATGTTTAGTAAAGACTGATATCAATATGTCTACTGACGTGTTCTCTTAGTTTGTTTTGCTGGTGTTTATTTTTGCTGAAGTGTCTCGGCATCCATTCACCGTTTGCCAGTTTGGAGTAAGCCTTGTTGTAGTCCTGGGTCTGGAGGAACTCTTTAATGATATTTTTGAGTTCCTCTTTGTTCGTTTTCAGCGGTCTGTACCTGATGTTCATTTTGTGAGTCGTTATTCCGAGGTAGGGGTCGATTATGAGAGCCGTCGCGAGGTCGTCGTACTCCGACAACTCGCGCGGGGTCATTCCCATGGGCTGCATTTTGTGGAGCACTTGCCTCCCTGGATAGCTCGCGGATCCAACAACCATCCTGATCACCTACAAAACAAAGACGCTACTATTACAGAAATACTAACATCACTCTCTCGTCAAAACTATGTGCTGACCGTGTAACAAAACTTTCAGGTTAAATAGATTTTCTTTACGACACTGTCATCCTATCAGCACGTAATGTATTAGAGACACATTTATAATAAAATAGCGAATTAAAACAGTAAATTATAAAAGGACAAACATGGCGGCCGAGCACGAAACTCAAAAAAGAGACACGTCAAAATTTTCTCTATTTATCTCATTAATAAACACTTAAACATGAAACAAAGATATTTGAGTATGTAGGTTAAGAGTGCAGTAATAACAATTACTTACTTAAATCATTGAATATATTTTAAAATCATGTTTATATCTAATAACAAGTCTATTATCATAACACTTCTTGACATTAACTCTAGGTTATTCATATAATTTAAACATAACAAAAAATTACTTTATTATAATATATTTAATTCATAATTTATGAATATAAACAAAATATATACACTTTAAGTTCAAAAACTCAAAGCAACGCTGAAAAACAACCATGTTTTCGTGCACTTCATTCATAAAGATAGCGTTTACGAGGCATATATAAAAAATAATATCCTTATATAAAAAAAGAAATATTTCTGAAAGAGATACATGGATTTGAATAAATAATTATATGTTGCAGAAATAATTATAACAATAATACATTTTGGTTAGGTGAAACGAGTATATTACAAAAATATTTTACTACGTTATAAGAAACAAAACGAGCTCAGTAAATGCTATACATATAAAAAGAAGTATAGGTATTTTTCTTTGAATTTTTGACGTTCTGGGCGAAATGCTTTTTTGTCTTCTCGATATTTACAGTTTTTTTAATATAAAAATACATAGTTTTGGCTTTTTAATTTGCCCTCGTAAAAGATCCACAGAGGAGATCCTTGAGTCTTTAATGTATGTAAATATATCTAATAACAGCTTTAATATAAGGCATAGTTTGATGTTTATTTTTAAAAAATCTTTTGAGCATATTATTATATATTAGATACATAATTTAATTATATTTTTTTGAAATGGTAAAAGGTACGTAATTTGTTATTTACTAATATAATTTATTCAAACAATAATATATAATTTCTTTGTCGGATTCCAAATAACAAATTAAATAAACTATAGTATAACTTCTGTGTTAATTATAAATAATGCAATTATCATTATTTTATTTATCCTTTTAATGTTTTAAGTTATATTATTTCTTATTTTTGCTGTTAGCTACCTTAATTTGAATTGTGACAAGTGACAGTCAACATTGGTAAATAAGACAAAACGTCATTCTGATACCTAAAGACACTAAGTTGATAATGAAAACTGAAAAATGATAATTTTATTCCCGCGGCAGTTACCAAGTAGAGCGCACGTCAGTTATGTTATGTGTTTAAAAGTTTAATATTAATAAATACGTAATAAAAAAGAAACATATTTAGTGTTAAACTTTACAGAAATTTATTTAAAAACTTTATAATTTACTTAAGATTGATAACTTTAACTGATAACTTATATCTGCAGTTGGATTTAGCAGAAATAAAATTTAAACCAAATCTCGGTAAGTGTTAAAAAAATTAAAATGTGATCGTCAATGAATCAAAACACAAACTTTTTTGGTCATTAAAATAATATTTGTTTAATTAGATGTAATTCTTAAAAAGTGTGTCGCAATCAGTTGTTGTGCGTAAAATTAGATAACATTTCACCTAATAAGTTTTATATTATCTTTATATACTTAATGTACATTATCTATACTATCGATTATATAAATATAGGGAATTTATTTACGCATTTTACTACTAACTTTAGGTTATATATATATTATTATGCGTGATGGCCTAGTGGTTAAAAGGCCGGCCTCTCATGCACGAGGGCGCGGGTTCGATCCTGGCCCTGACAAGTACCAATGCGATTTTTCCGAGTCATATGTACTTTCTATATATTATAGTATTGGTCAAAACTATTCTCACCATGTAAGGGAGACCATGGCTAAAGCTGGGAAATTGCCAGGAAGAAGAAGATATAAATTATTATAGTTATATATAAATTTTACCGAAATCTGAGCAATTTAAAGTTAATTACTACTTATATCAAATTTAATACTATCTTCTTAACTTTCAGAAGAACGCTACAAATATGGCTCATTCCGGATCATCGGGAAGTATTAAAAGCGGAATTATAGATTTTACAGCCGGATCTTTAGGTACTGGTCGAATTTAGAAAAATTTATACCAAATAAGTAAAAATTTGATTTTTTTTTCATAAAACAAACAATGTAATGGTTATTTGTTTATAGGGGGAATAGCGGTGGTGTATGTGGGACAACCTTTAGATACAGTGAAAGTTAAAATGCAAACATTTCCCCACTTATACAAAGGCATGTACCACTGTTTGAAACAAACATTAAGGAATGACGGCATCGTCAGAGGTTTATATGCTGGAACTACTCCGGCTATCATGGCAAATGTTGCCGAGAACTCAGTTCTGTTTGCCGCTTATGGTTATTGTCAGAAATTTGTTTGTCACATCACCGGAACAGAGGTAAGTAATATGTTGAGGTTTAAGATATTTTTTTCTTTCATAAAGAATATTACATATTCACTTAAATGAAACTTAAAACTAATTTACAAAACTATTTACATAACTGTTTACATTTTTGAGCGTACGAAACTAGGTTCTTAAATCTTACTATACAAAATAAAAAATATATTTAACAAGTAATACATCAAAACATAAATCAATAAGTGTTTAGTTTTGTATATCAATATTCATCAAGACAAAATGTTTACAGACATATTACAACTAGATGTGATATTCCTAAAACAAAAACTTCAACAATGTTATATGTTATGCTCTTTATCATATATGTAGTATATAAAACTATGTAGTCATGTATGTATTGTGCTAAGTAACAAACTGATATAGCAACTAATATATTAATCTATCTACATTACACTTGACATCATATTATTTCAATATCGAGCAAGCATAACTAACACATAACAATATACTTTATATAATATAATTCCCAAAGTGGATTGATGTCAGGCAAGCGGCTGGTCGTAAAAACAATTAACTATCACTATTTACAACATGTAAGGCAGACCCTGGCTAAAGTTAGGAAATTGCCAGAAAGAAGAAGATACAACTTTATATATTTTCTGATACTACTTTATATGTACTTTTTGATATATTTGCAAAAGTTTTTTGTATGTGTAAAATTAACAGATCATAAACACAGTGCTTATAAAATATTTCTATTGAATGAAGCATCCTAATATATTATTTTATATAAATGGAAATCAAAATTATATATTTTTTAAATTATATATATATAATATAGTATTTATTAATTTGCTCTGCTTGTGTTATTTCAGAGTGTGGACCAGTTGTCGACTCTAGGCAATGCGTCAGCGGGGTTCCTGGCCTCGTTCTTCTCATCCTTCACTCTTTGTCCGACGGAGCTCATCAAGTGTCAACTTCAAGCGATGAGGGAAGTGAATGTCAACGGTTCACAAACAGCAGTACGATGACTTTGGGTATTCTGTTATAACTTAATTCTTATAATACTGATACAGTTATTCATATTTATTTGTATACTCTTATCGCTTGTAATTTTATTATCAGATGCTAATGATGTCAAATGTGTTTGTAAACTTTCATGTGAATAAATATTATTTTATATATGTAGGTGAGGCTGACTCCGTTGCAACTAACTCAGCAGATCTTCAAACAGTATGGTATTCAAGGTTTGTTCAGAGGTCTTGTGCCAACCATCATGAGGGAAATGCCAGGATACTTCTTCTTTTTCGGTGGATATGAAGGTAAACATATTTTCTACACTCCTCATATACATATATATGTAATCAGTATGTATCGGAGGTCAAGTGTTTATTAACCCACAAGTATCTTATTACTTTCCTTCCAACACGAGCCCTCTTCTTATTATCAGCTGTTACTATAATTCATTTGTAATCTTTCTTTCTTATCTCTATATGTTTTTCCTTGTGATGATGTCTTGTTTTATTTCCTTTAGTTTATTTAGGTAATTTTTTATTTTTTTTCTTGTTTTCTTGATAAAGCTGCCGATATCTTTATATACCCCGCTTTACGCGAGGGATACGTTCCGAAGAAAATCGCGTTAACTGAAATTCACGTAATCGAGGTTTATGATTAAACACAGCCAAAATTTAATACACAAATATAAAAATCATTTTAATCAATCACTATAATTCTAAGAACACTATACAATACATAGGTACTCCTATTTTTTACGAAAAAATACATGTATCGTCTTTTGGGTAGCGTTTTGTTTACGTTCTTGTAAAATACGTTCATAACACCAAACACTGTTTATAATCGATTGACACACGTTCAAGACACGGTCATCATTATTGTCTATACTCTGCAATGTCCCAACCTGAATAAATTTTTGAAAATCGCATTATAGTGAAACCGCGCACAACGAGGTCGCGTTAAGCGGGGTATTACTGTACTAGTTGTGGGTTTCTCGTGGTATATTAATGGTAAATAACTATTATCTGTCACCAATTTCCGATGACCCATACTATCTATCCAACGTGTTCGTCCAGCCAGTTCTATTTGACCCGTAGGTACAAGACAGCTCCTCACTAAGCCAGGCCAGTCAAAGGACGACATAGGTCCGTGGCGCACGATGGTCGCGGGCGCGGTGGGAGGCCTAGTGTTATGGACGGTGATCTTCCCCTCTGACGTCATCAAGTCCCGCGTACAGATATCCAATAAGAGTCAGAAGTTCCTCACCGTCGGTATGGAAATTGTTAGGAAAGAAGGTTCGTATGATGACATTTAACTTGACATTGTTTGTAATAATTAATGATTTAAATTGTTGTCTACTTCATAATTCTTAGTTTAACGTTTCAAAAAGTTTCAAAAGTCTGGGATAAAAACTATCCTATGTTCTTTCTTAAGGTCAACTCTGTCTGTACCAAATTTCATTAAAATCAGTTCAATGGTTTAGGCGTGAAAGCGTAATAGACAGACAGACAGAGTTTCCTTCGCATTTATAATATTAGTAGGGATTCTTATAACAGTCAACTAGCGCCATCTGTATATTCGTTATAATAGTGTGAATTATTGTTCATAATATTTCTGTACAGTAATTTAATAATTGGTTTTACAATTTATAATTAGAGCCTTAGCATGTTTTACATAATGTTAAGTGTTTTATTATTTAATGGAAATTCTTATAAGGGGAACTAGCGCCCAATATTATAACCCCTCATCAAAATGTTATTTTTGAATATTATAAATACCATACAAGTGTTAGACTGTAGATTCTGTTATCAGTTGTGGAGTAATAAACATCTAAATGGAAGTACTGCCTAATATATTTCTAACAATATATATATTGTGTTTCAGGAGCGCTAGCCCTCTACAACGGTCTAAAGCCGACACTGGTCCGTACAATCCCGGCGACGGCCGCCCTGTTCGTGGTTTATGAATACTCGAAGAAATTCATGCATCAGTCGTTTGGAGATTAATAAACTAGCTATATGTTGACTTGTTACTAATATATTGTTCACCCGACATGTGTGTTTCTGTTTCTAAATAATAAAAACTTAGGAATAATTGCATTTCTTTTCTATAAAAAGTATTAATGCTACTATCCTACTATAATATTATAATTGCGAAAGTTTGTGAGTGTGTGTGTATGTTTGTTACTTCTTCGCGCTCAAATGGCTGAACCGATTTTAATAAAATTTTGTATACAGGAAGTTAACGTCCAGGAATAACACATAGGCTACTTTACATTCCGGAAATCCTCGGTTAACACCGCGGGACGCAGCTAGTTATTGAATAAAACTTAAATCTCTTCGTTTGTCAATATTGTAGTTTGTTTTTTAAAGTGTTTACAAATAAAGAAAGCATGTGTAGTATCAATGTCAAGATCAAAGGTCCTTGACTTAGAAGGACGATAACAACACGTCATCTGTTGAAATATAGCGGCTTTAGTGTTATTATTAAACATATTATGTTTTTCGTATTACTACGCATATTTTATTATTATAAACTACATACTCATGATGTTTCGGTTACTTTGGTTCAACATAGATCACGAAGATGAGATGTGTGTGTGTAATGATAGTTTAATTTAAATTAATTCTCGTAGTCTAAGATCTCATGACAATTATTAATATTTTAAGTAATCGACTACAATTCTTATACATTCTCTAAGTGATTCGTTACCCATATATCTACTTGGAATATATCCACTCCTAGGAATCCAAATCTACTTGGAACATTAGTGTAGTCCCAGCCTTAACGATTTAACCTCTATAACGGCTTAACTGAACCTATATCTGTACATACTTTATTATTACAATTACTAAGTATTACTTAAAATTTGTATATTGTTACTATTTGAGCACACTGCCTTAAAATCTCTTTTAATAATTCTCTTTTTATGTATAGAAAGCATCTGTCAGGCATTACCAAACAAAACATAGATTTGTCAATACAACTACACGTATTTTAATAGTATATACAAATATATCTTATGCCTACGGAAAATTATCAAATTCACAACATATATCAGTACAAGAGGAAGACCTACAAGAATAACCAAAATGAAAATTCGGTCGAAGGTTACGTGAACGGTAGGGCCGATCAGAACGATGTGACCGATTCACCCCGGAGTGACCGAGTGACCATCGACGAAGCTGGTTGTAGCTGTGACATTGACTCAGACGGAGAAATAGCGAACATACTTCACAAGAAGAGGCCCGTGATAGAGCTGGCACAGTTACAGCTACAGAGAGTCCTGGACGAAACTGACAAGTTGTTTTGTGATAATATAGACTGCTGCAGGTAGAGGGTTTCTTATATTTAGGATCACTTAGATACAAAAAGCATATAAGGTATATAGCAGATGGTACGAAAACACTTTCAAATGGAACTAAGTATATTTAAAGAAACATAATTGCGCTAATGTGTCCTTTGATCATTTTGTATCAAACACGTTATGGTATTGGTATAACGCGCCTAGAATAGTAGTGGAACCCTAACTGTTTCTGATTCTTATAAAACTTCTAACGTTCTTAAAGATTTTTATAAAACTAATAAAATGAGGCACTGTTATGTTCTCTGCTCATGATTCATGAGGCACTGTTATGTTGTTTGCTCGTGGTCGCGGTTATTGTAAAGTATATATTATATAAAATGAAAGTGTTTTCGAAATTCTCAGTCCGTAGCAAGTACTTTTTTTATGGGAATTTTACAAACCTCACCTATGACGGCAAATGAATGCTCATAGGTTTACAAGTCTACTTATCTGTTAGGTGTGTGTCCAAGTTACTTCAGGTTTTAATTTACGTGTACCTACTAGTTCAAGTTTGAATACCAATGTCAGCTTGATAACAAAATATTTTAAAATGAAACGGTGTTCAGGGACAAATTACCAAAATTCGACTGCTAGGATGTAGAATCAGAAGAACTATGTCTACTGACTACATGGTTACCATAAAAGCAATAAAGTTTAAGCAATTAAAATTTAAGCCACCCTAAGCTACACGCGGTCTAGTCAGGAAAGCCATCAAAATTTTGTATAATATTAATAAATATTTAAACAAGAAAAATGAATTCTAAAGTCTCTCCCTCATATAATCTAGATAAAGCTGATTTGATATGTTTGTTTCCTTGAGTTTCCGTTAGAAATAGATAGACGGATATCTACCCAAAGGAAATGTAATTTATACGACTCAATGGAACTGAATTTTGCTAAAAGTATAACATATCCACCGATATCTTCGTTTCCTCACGAATTAAACTAGCAGATGCACCATCGCAATTTTTTTTTTCCAAAAAAACTCCGTGGAAGTTGAGTGAAGTGACCTCAGCGTTTCAGTACAGAACCGACTTTCCAGCTATAGAATTGAAATTGTTGGTCCAATACATTTTTAATATATCTAAACACCACCCGGCTGATTACTGGTCTCTAATGAACAAAAAATACGTCGACTTGATCGGATATTCGCTTGTCGAGATCATCGCCGTGGATGACTGACTTGAATCGTCAGCACAGCCTTCCGCTCGCTTCGCGTGCTTCACTCGCAAAATGCAGCGTCAATAAAACGATGTCAAAACAATTTTCCCCTTAATCTGTAGCACCTAATATGAAGATTTTAAAATTCTAAAACCATTTTAAAATATATGAAAAGATGAAAATCGTTGTCCGTTTTCATATTGACAGCATTGTTTGGTAATTCGAAAAGACCCAACACGTGTTGAAACAAATTAGCTTATCCTTAACATTACTACTCATAATATAAAAATAGGCACTACAATAAAACTATGCGTTGTTGTAAAATAAGACCTCAGGGCGTCGATGTTAATCTTGCCATAGTGAAACTAAATTAGACGTCAGAGATACCTAGGTATCTAGACCCGTTTAGTGGAGCTGATTAGTTAACCCAGCAGAGAAGATCTTGCCCAGCTCATCTAACAAAAAGAATAGTGTGTATGCAGATGAGATTTCTTCCGGATGCCCCTCTTGCAAAAGATGGCCGATGAGTCATCACGTCCTAATACATAAAATAGTGTAAAAACTACATACCTACCTATTAAAAATTAAATGCCTTATTTTTATCTTCTCTCTGATTTCATTTAAATATTAAAGACAATTATTGAAAACGAATCGTTAGGGCCTTCATAAGAAATATTTTTTACCGCTTCCAGCTCAAGAAACAGCGATATGAGGATGTCTGAGTTAGATATATTAATGTAAATAAATATTTTCAATACGTTACTATTATTATAATGTCACGGCTTAAAATTTTATCTCTTTAAATAGTATATCCACTACCGCATACTTACTTGAACTATTCATAAAAAATAATCAAAGTAAACAGCACATAAAAGAAAGAGTACGATCAAAATTTTCCATTGAGCACACACTCCAACAGAGCTGAATTTTGCTAGAGATTTATGGAACAGTAGTGTGAATAAAACCTTAAACTCAATCAGTTTAATGAAAGTCAACATATTAGTTTTATTAATTTACTACCAATATTATAGACTAGTGTAAAATTTTTAAACATTAAGTCATTAGGTATAGTAAGACTCCACTCAGCAACGAGTACATTCAAGTGAATATAACTTCCTTCTCTAGAGGTATATAGACTTACAGGTCTTATATGAATCGTAAAAATAATGTCTATATGTGTAGTATGGATGGGTTCCAAAGTACTTTCAGTAAAGTTAATTTCCACCTCCTTACTTTATCAATAGTAAAAAGACAAATATTTGTAAGACACTCCGAGCAAGGCCTTATAACTTAATAAAGAAACCGAACAGTAGAACATTATTATATATATTTCATAAAACACCTTTTATATTTCCTTTGTATTTTTCAGGTCAATCTATGATTTCTTGAACCTATGTAAGGCAGCGATCCTCAAACACAATAAATGTGGCTGTATATTTCTGAGTTTAGTAATATTGGCTTTCCTGGTCGGTGTGATCATTGGCTCTGCAACATGTGGAGCCACTCTGAGACATTTCAACAGCCCTATCCTCACCTGTATCGACAACCTGTTCATTTCGGGTCCATCCCCGCTCCAACACTCCTTTAAAGGCATCATATGATATTTATAAACTGTTTTAAGTGAATATAAGCATGTAATATTTATTGTATATGTATAGAATAGCTCTTTTATATATTTGTAATAATTATATTATCTGGAATAAAAGTTTCCGTCCAATATTTAAAAAGTATGTGTTTATTAGGAATGTGTATTGTAGTTTCTTAACAAAACAATTAATTATTAAATGGGTTTCTTTAACTAATTATAATGAATGACTATCACATAATGATGTAAACAACACAACATACATTTTAAAACTTTATTTGCAAACTCGGCCTTAACCATTAGCAGCGGTAGTATGTATACATGTCATTATTTTACATTTCAAAGAACAATAGTGCATTCATTGAATCTCTGCGATGTTCTTAAGGAAATTGCTTAAACTAGAGAAAGTGACCATTTAGTTCCATAACAACTAAGTCATTCCAAATATAGATGAAACATATCCATAACTAGTTCTATACAAATGAAAATACAGCCGTCCTAAGGACATACAAGTTTAGGAAATTCACGAGCGATTTTTCATGTTAAACTAAATTTGGAACAAAAATTATAGATTAGAGTGTATTAGTTGAGATAGTTTATTTCTCCTCGCACCATTCGTTCTCCTTACGGACCTGTTCCTCCTCGGCAGCTGTGAAATCGTTCTTGATATTAAATGTCTTCCGAATCTCTTCTGGAGTCTTGCCCTTAATCATATTAGCTACAGTTTTACACGTGACATCCAGAAGTCCCTTAATATCTAAGTAATTCGCTGCCAGTATTAACTCGAACAGTGTCCCCTGATCAACTTTGAGAAAGTCTGCATCCCAGGATGAAATATCATCGGTGCGTTTTTCTTTGTTTTCGTCGTCTTCGGGTAGTGGAGGGTCGTCTTTGTGGTAAGTGGCCCACTGGATCACCTTCTTGAGGATAGCGGAGTTCACGTTGGGTAGAGGCACCACTTCTTCTTCATCATCATCCATCCCGAGATCTTCCAACATGGTTTTTATGGTGACAGAACATTTTGCTATTTCGACATCAACATCAAAAATTTCATTATCCGAAGACTGTAGTTTGATATTTGGCATCTGGAAATATGAATCTAAATTTAATTATCGTAATTAAAAAAATAACACGACCACAACAAATAGTTTTAAAAAATCTTTATCAAAGACGCCATCTTAAATACAAAAATAGTCACAAAGCTTACCTTACAAATAGATTTTTCTATATCGGTTTAAAAATAAACTTTTCCGGTCCACTGTGATAATTTTTAACTCAAGTATCTAAAGAGTGAATTAGTGTGAGATTTTAATAGATGGTACACACGAATACACGCAATTCCTTACTGCAGACAAGAGTACTTATTCTAATATCAAACGAAAATGTCAACATCAACGAGAATCTAAATTCTAGAACACTGCAGTGTTTATGGTCCAAGCTTTTAACTCATAAGATACATTGACTAACACTATCTTTATTTATAAGTAATTTAAACTTAATTTTTCTATATGTAAAATATAAAATCAATAATTAAACAAATTGATATTTGCTGCGACTGCCGAGGCATTTTAATTTACAAATAGTCTGATGAGGTTTAATTCAACTACCACTCATTGCTAAAAGAATAATATAACACTAAAGTTACTGTTTCTAACATTAAAGAGACCTTTTATTACTGAATATTAGTTGATTTTAAAATGTATTTTTTCTTTGTGTCTGTTCGTTCCTACTAATTTATGAATTTTAACGGTTCATGCACTGTAGGGAAGCTAATGTATGATTAAGTATTTTTTTTATATTTCATTCGTTAATAATTACAAAACAATGAGTAAATTGCGCGGATGAACTCCCAGCCACAAACACCATACTCCAATGAAAAAGTGCCTTTTGAAATACCTAGTAAGGAGATTAAATAAAAGAATGAAAAGAGTGAATTTTGTAGTAATTAGTTAAGTACTATCAATATTCTGAGTGGTTGTAGTTATTAACCGCTTGTAACGACGGTGCAGTGAAAGGTCTAACAAAATATGCCTACACTTTAATATATCATTTTTTCTCTCTTCAGGCACGGTTTTTACGAAATGAATCATATATTTTCTTGCATGATTTTCCTCATTATATTATACGTATATATATTACTCTATTTCTAATGCTAGACATTTTAATGATTTACATAGTAGTACTGGTAAAGGTTTAATAATAGTTTGTATAAATTCTTGACTTAATAAATTGTTGCAAAAGTAAATATAAACAGTAAACTATAAAAAGCTAGTTTTTAAAAATATACTGAAAAGTGTTATAATGTTTTTAATCCCACTAATATTATAATTGCAAAAGTTTGTGAGTATGTGTGTATGTTTGTTACTTCTTCACTCTCAAACAGCTGAACCGATTTTGATAAAATTTTGTATACAGGAAGCTGACATCCAGGAATAATACATAGGCTGCTTTACATCCCGGAAAATGTTTGACTTTTCCTCATATAAGCGAAAAACCGTATTTACTTACGTAACACCGCGGGGCGCAGCTAGTTACTCATATAGCTAGAGTAGCAAATGCTTCGGGAACCGCGATTTCATCGCCTATATGAGCGGCTAAAAAGAGACATTTTAATTGGTTGAAGTAACTCCATGTCGTCCAAAGTAGTGCATAAAACTTTGTTAAAATAACAAAAAATACGTATGTTAGAGAGCTAGAACTTTTAAGTATATTTTGTACATTTTGATATGAAAAATAGCCTAGCATTGAAATTTTATTTCATAAAGTGTATTATCGCTTATCATACTATAATGCGCTCTCAGATAGAAGTGCTGGCCATATTGCTAATACGCCCGTTTTGGTCTCTCTGACACTGACCTCCAGGGGGCGTTCTTACCACTTTGGGAAAGACTTAACTTTAAGTTTTAGCAAACCTATAAACACCTGCCTAATTTCTTAACTTACATAACCTACATGTCCAAAAGAAAATAGACTGCCGACGTTTAAATACTACATGGAATTCAAACGAGCGAATCCGGTTGCAAAAGCTTGTATTTAATCATAACTTTTCTCATTCATCCCTTCCTGCATACTTTATCAAAATCGAAAATAATATTCACTACTTACCTAGCACTCCTGACCTCTAAAAACATTGAACATTTCTATGTAATTATATTTTCAAGTTAACTTTTGTTTTACAACGAAAGAGTTATTAATTTTTTTTGTTGCGTATGTGACTTATTAAAACAAAAAACTTATATATTTTGGACATATAAATAAATAATGCCAATTGATTTTGTTTCATATGTTCAAAAAAGTATCTTAAATGAGTCTGCTTAATTTATAGGATACTTTGAATAAAAACACACTAATTATGCTATGCAACAATATATTTAGGCTAGTAGACACAAGTTCATACACTTGGAATATAAATATAACATACAATTAATTGTAAATATAATTTCTACACTGTATTTTATACAATAAAAAAACCTAAAACAGCATAAGAAAAACATTCATATAAAAATATAATCTTTTGGCACAAATTTAGGAAGTTTGATCAATGTAAAAATATTTAGAAAATAAAACATTCCAAATTATAATTTCATTAAACATATTTTGTATAGATAAGGAATATAAAAATCATTCACGGGTTTGTAAAATGTTGCTCAATGTGCGCTCCAAGATGTGATCATTTTTCATCTTAAGTCTACGATTATTTTACTTAAAATGATAAAATTAGGAATATAAAATAAAGCAGTTTCTGCTCGGCCAATAAATTTCCATTCCCTGTATAGACAGCAAGAATAAGCAAAATAGACAAATATTTCTTTGTTTTATAATATTGAACAATAAATAGATAAATATAATTTCACACAACATCAACATACATCATCATTATTAAAAGTAATATTATTCATTTTTCCTTAAGCATATTCCAACTAGACATTACATAAATTATATCTTTGAATTTTATTTCAGATCAAAAGGACTAGGGATGGTATTAATAACAAACATTAAAAAATATATCACATCAATGAAATGCTACTGAAACTTCATCCAATATATAAGTACATGTAAAGTACAGAGACTATCACTATACTATATGTGGAAAGATTCCTCGCTCGACAATCATGTTTAACGGTTCAAATAGCCAAGGCGTTCTTTTAAACGGAAGTATACTTTAAGGATCGGACGTAGAATCGTTAGTACCATGATCAGAAGCACTAAAACGATACAAGTGTACCTCAGAATCTCCCCGAAGGTCCACCACTTAGAGAAATTACCGAGTATTATAGTTATGGTTCCCAAACAAAATGTGAGCAGGCCGAAAGAAGCATGGATCAGTTTAGTGTAGATCGGAGCCAGGTAATGTTTGAGCTGCAAACTGCACAAAGCACCGAGCCCTCCGAAGCTCGTAAAAGTCATGAAAACGAGAGAAGCCAGCCCGAACTTAGCATGGAGTGTTTGGAAATGATCTTTGTTGTTTATTATTTTGTTAATTAAAATAACTAAAAATCCTATGAATATAATAAATATAGCAAATAACTGTAGGACCCAGTGGCGGGCGCTCCGGAGTCTTATGGGCATCCATTCTGTGGCCAGATCGCCGGGAGTGATCGCATTCACTGCGGACGTCATTACAATGAGCCACTGTTGACAGACAAAGAGAATTTATTGTAGAAACTATTGGACTACTATATAGGTATATATGTGTATATCATCAATATTAATTTACTCACCCCGACAGTCATAAGGATAGGATGAAACGAAAACAGCGAAACACCATTTTTAAAACAACAGTACGTAATTATCGCTGTAGATATTACAGCAAAAATGTTACTGACGAGATTTATATAGCTGGGTCTCGAGGAGTTGTTCGGTGGCACCAGGCTCGAACTCTCCGACGTTCTCTCAGCTGGAGGCATATCTGTTAAATTTGCTGTATCTTCTCTATTTTCAGTATCCATTAATTTTTAATGTTTAAATAGATATACGTTTCGATATGCTCTAACAGTTGACACGCCTCAAAACAATGATAGTGCCAATAAATGACAGTCGTAGTACCGACATGAGGAAAATAAAATATTAAATCAATACTAATCTTCAGAGCGATAAACTCGACATCTGTGTACGTACAAACTTTATCTACAACCTAATACTACTGAGACCTGACAACTGATAACTCAATACATGCAAAACCATGACAGTGACAATTATATTGATAACTGCAACGAGTACTGTTTATTTAATACTATGGAAAAAAACAATTATTTTATAAATTATTTAGAGGCTCTTGTTTCGTTAATAAAGTTTTTAGAATACGAAAACATACTTTGAGAATGTTTATATAACATTTGCATTAATTCATACTTTTTAAAGAGCAAAAAATAATGTAAAGTGTACATAAAAAAGAACTAAAAGTTTTTAAATTAGATATTATAATTAATAATATCTAAAGAAAAAATGAGCAATTTATTTGAAAACTGCCGTTGAAACTGCTGCCAAGTTTGAAGGTATTGTACATCTGTATGTTGCTATCAGATAACATCAGGCACCTACTCTTAAGACAATTGGCTATTCTAAAAAAACAAGTGCCTGACTTGTTAAGAGAAATAAATAAATCTTACATTTTTATCAAATAACAAGCCAGGCAATTGAATGGGAATGATTGGAAAATTTTAAAGGGACCGGCAGCTCCCAAGAGTATAATAAACGACTTGGTTTAAGCTGTTAGATTCATTTAAATGAAAGTTTGATTTAATCTTAAATACATACTTCTATACTAGTATGTGAACAATATAATATGTAGAAGTAAGGCGTATGATCTAATAAAGGTATCTAACACTGTACACGCCGAGTAAAAGGTAAGGTTACCTTCGAGATTTTTTTTTCCAAAATTTTTCACTGGTGTATGATTTTTACTAAAAAATTAAAGTTTCCGTGACATTAAGGGCGCAAAAGATTCCTATATTAAAACTATAAAATGTCGTATAGTTAAATGCGTCAAGAAAATGATTAATACAAAGAGAGATTACTCGACCACAATGAGAAGAGTTGCTGCAGTTCCGATAATTTATAATTCATCTATGATTCACACATACAAAAATTTAACTTTTAGGACTTTCCTAAATACATGCAATGTAACGATTTTTTTTTTTTGTTTTAAGAAGAATGGTATAGTTAGTCTTTGAAAATTATTGAAATCCAGGCTTTTTAAAATATTGTTTTCTGTTCTCACAAAGTTTTTTAAACTACTAGTCAAAGTTAAATTTTAAACTACATATTTATCAAACAATGGTTTCCGAGTTTTCGATTTGTCATCTTCGTGTTACGTCATGAGTGACACTGCTTGGTTAATTTGTTTCTGATAGAAGTGTAATTCTTTGTTAATACTATAATGATAAGCGCAAAAAATTCTAAAAGGATAAGAATTATTTATTTATTATTTCATTGTACCTATATACATTCAGTATTTTACATTTCCATTCGGTTTCATTCTTTATTTTAAATTCACTGTGTCGGGTGCAGAGGGCACGACAATTGATTTAGTCGGTCTTAAAGGAAAAAATTTAAATGTTTATGATATGGCCGCAAAATTTTATTACCTACCTATCGGTAATCTATTCCATGTTGCATTACAAGTGGCAGTGGATTAGGTGAGAGGCACAACAAAACACCCGAGTCTAAACTGGCCGTAAAGTATTTACAAAAAAAATTTAGGTTTTAAAGTGTCTCCATCATGAAAGTTTCTGTAATCATGAATTACACAAGCAATTTCAAATTGCAATCTATAAAAATATATTACCTACATATAATTTTCTTTACCATGTCTATTTTTAAATTATCAAGTTATCAAAATAGTCGATAAAATACCATAGATGAATTTTTTTTCCATATTCTTAGCAAACAGTCCAAAAAGCGTTTCACTTGAATTTTTTGGCTTTACTTTTTATTTAGTGTTGTAACTTGGTTGCTTACAATACCTACCTGAAAAAAATAATAATGTGAGTTTTATAAATCAATTCTTTTACGATATCTAACTTTAAAATCATTACGAATGTAAACTGTTACAAATTGCCAATAATATAAAATTAAACAATTTATTATGGAAGACATGATTCCTATTTTGTTGTTTAATAATAACAAATATTAAGGAATATAATAAAAAACGACAAATAAATAGAATTACTAATTTACACTTCAATAGTTAATTTTCAATCAGGTGCGTAAAACTATAGCTATGTGGGCAGTGGGCTCATTGAAAACAAAAAAATAATTTATTATTATAAATCAGATTTAGTTTAATTTGTAAGATGCTTTCAAGTTTCAAGTAAGGATCATAGAAGTTGGAATTTTTCTGGTCTATGTTGGACCAGCAGAACTACCCTTACGGTCTATGACCAGGTGTACGATTGTGTGATTCTTGTAAGCAGATTTTATGCTAAAATAACAATATTATATAACATAACAATATTAGAATGTTGCACGTTTTATTATATAATATTTTTGATCTTTATGTGGTTTAAAATATATGGCATACTTACAGAAGGATGCTTCTCTCATTTATATTTTATAGAAAAAAAATGTAAAAAGAGATTTTCTTCCTATTAAACTATACCCACTGAGTTTAGACAGATACATGGTAAGGTAATGTATGGAATCGTAACAGTATGTGGAAGTTTCTTGGAGATATTAATTACGAACGGCATTATTAATAGTCCATACAAAACACCATTAGAAGAGAAAAGCTAGGTTGAAGTACAGAAATAAACAAATACAATACGAGATCTAAGACTTAAAAAAAAAAAAGAAAGTTTTTATTTGAGACACGTATAGTTATATACTTAGTTAGGTATAAAAAAAAAACAAAGAAAAATTACAAATTAAAAAAAATAAACATAAGAATAAAGAATAAAATAAAACTTATGACTAATTTACTATAATATGCCTACACCAAAACACGAAAAAAAAAAAATTAAAACTTACGCGTACATATTTAAATGACACTAATATTTTCCGGATTACATTTTTATTATAATACTCGTATCATACACATCTCTTCTTAATGATCATGGTGCTGTAAAGTAACTGAAACGTTGGGAGTATGTAGTTTTTTAAAATAATAAAATAAGCGTAGTATAATCCAATAATATTAGTTTTATTTAAACACACGAAAACGTTGAAAAAGACGATCCTTCGTCTTGAAATATATTAATAACACTACTAACATATAGAGTTAGGAATTTTAAGTGAGTCAGTCCACTAACGGTCAAGAAAAATAAATAACTAATTTTCGTGGATTACGTAAAGTTGACACTAGCGTACGAATTACACAGAGAAGCAAAACAAACACAATAATACAAATATGGTTATAGAATTATTAAGTATGAACACGATCGTTTAGAGAACTCGCCTCATTTATTGAACTAACTCAAAAATCCTCTATAGTTTTTAGTCAATAAAAACAACTACGCACATATCTACGCATTTTTTATCCTTATAGGAGACGCCATTTTTAAGAAAAATTATTACCTAATATCTTGTGATCGTAAGCAAATATGATATGTATATGACGGCGCATCCGTCAAAAATCATACGTCAGGTTGACTTTTAGCTGTCTGAGGTTAGCCTAGTGAAGCGTCATTGTGATGGTAGCGAGGGCGGCCATCTTTATTATGGAGTATCGTGCGAGATGACGCCCGCGCACCGCGCTCGTGACGAATCGCTGTGTATCGAAGTGATAGTGATATCTAGTGTTTCGATTGAGTTGGTGTCGTATTGAATAGACTGTACTTTATCCCTTTCAAAGTATGAGTTCCCATGAAGGCCCTCCTGTTCTTATAACGCCCTCCTACATCAGAAGTGGGATCGAAAGGGCTTTAAAATGAGGAGAGTAGTGATCATCCATCTATGTTAAACTTTGTAAAAAATAATGAGAAACTTGTCGATGAAAATAATGTCAACTTCTCAACTAACTTCGACGACGTAGTTGATCCGGTTCAATCTGGATCGTACGGAAGCAGATATAAGGGTTAGGACGTCTCGTCGTGTCTTGATCGTAAAAGGTACCGGTAATTGAGGCTCGCCGGTGAAGGAGATATCTGTGTGACCATGGGCCGAGCCGAGGGGAGTTGACGACGTCATCTGGTGAGACTGTTCCTTTTCTTTTTAGTAGTGGGTGTACTTGTTCATGTAGTACTAATGTGTGTCTGTATCTGAAAATTTTTCAAATAAATTTCTGTGTACTTTGAGCAATGAAGTAGTTCCCCTGAAAGGCATCTGAACGCGTAGTATACGGTCGAAGCGAACGGGCGACGATATGAGTTTCACGCTTACCCACCACTTCGTAAGATTTTAATATTAGATCGTATTAGCGAATAAAGGTCATTCAACCTTGCGCTTCGGTACTGAATACTCTAGTCATACTTCGTGTACATTAACAGTCAATTATTATTAGTGTTTCTACGTCTATAGACTTATTGTAATACACAAATTTTAAGCCCGGTCATAATTCAAAGTGTTTCAGTGTCTCTTTTGTTTCATATTATTAAAGAGAATATTATTCTTGAATCCGTGGTTGTTGGACGGTACCTTGTAGAGTGGGGGGTTAAAGGAGAGATAAACAGTGACTACATTATTTTCTCAAAACCTGAAACGACAAAAACAGATAAGTGCCCAACCTCAGACAGTCTTAACTTTTCTTGTATCAAAACTTATTTGGAAGGCGACGATAACAAAGCCCTTATCGATGTTTTTAAGAAGTATAACTCATTTTATTATTAAGGGCACCTCTTAACTCTTTAGACCCTAATTCTTTAGACCCTAACATAGTCTAAGAGAGACCTTACAAATTATAAGAGGTTGTTCGAAAAAAAAAATGGATGCCCTCTTTGAAACAATCATTTTACACTTTATCAAGCCCCATTCTAATTGTAAAAAAAAAAAAACCGAATGACAACTCTGACAT